AATACAAAAACATTGACACAATATTTGAAAATTACATTGGTATTCCCGGATTGTTGTTTTTCCCCTAAAATCTTTTCATTCATATGTGTATTGGAATTCTTAGATGGTTTTATATCTAGTATACTATAACAGATAATCACGTGAAAAGCAAAATACACAAAATCTTGATAAACACAAAAAAATCACGAATATTGATAACATGAGTACTTGTATGCATAACGGTCCATTGCCCTTGATTGGATGATATAGATTGACTTTAGTAAGAGAAAACATGAGATAGCCGAACAACCGAGACAAGAACCTTGGCGTACAAATAAGCATCGAATAAGACTTACTTAATACATTATAGCATAAGGACAAGGAGTTTAGCTATAGATGGGATCATGGCGACAACTGTAACAAGTACATAACTTGGTTAAATTGCAATGTATTATTTCTACTACATCACCTTGCAGTTTATTATCATCATCTACTGGGTATTTATGCACTATTTACATTGATTTACACACATGCAAAATTATAGATTATGTAGACACAGTTCCCAATAATTCTCAACGGATTTCTGGCATAATCAACATGATACCGTTATAGAAACACCGAACCACAAGGCATCTTGTTCCTATGATCAATTCACGTCTACTCGTACGCCTTAAACAACGAAACGGCCGAGTATTTAGAAGGATCACGGTAAGTTCATAGGGAAACGTCATTTAAAAGTCTTCTATTCATCCGAGCATTATCCATTGAACATTGAGGCACGAACTCATTTATACTGAGCAGTAACGCTGACTTGTTTTGACACTTGTTAAAAGTGCTCATGTACTTATCTTGCGAAAACCCCGTTGTTTATCATTTTAACATTTTCATTAAAACGCATTCTGCGTGATTGCATACAAAATAATGTAGGATATCTCGTCATCTGAAAACGGAATGAAAAAAGCCGCCATATTAACATTGGATATATTCATTTCCGATTGAAAGACAATTACATAACATAACTCTTTCTTCTATGTGAATGAAATTTATCGAATGCAGTGTCCTGATCGATATACAGTCATGCGTGCCTGTATATACTGATGAAAGGAATGACCAGAATTCTTGTTGTTGTTGTGTCTTAAAGAATCCATTTTAAATTTGGTTAGTAATCCCGATTGATTTTGTTTAAACATTCCACACGAAAACAGGGAAGTCAAATGACAATTCATCCATTTTCAAAGAGGAAACATGACTCAATGCCACATGTATATGTCGAACAAGAAATCTGCAATGCGGACCAATAATACGTCCATTCCACAGAGAAATAAATACAAATCTGGAAACGAAACATTGTCAAATGTCTCTGAGAAATCATAATTCACTCAGTGAAACTTATTCATGGATACTGAATCAGGAAAGTTGGCATTTTGCTTTCTTCTTTTTTTTTTTTTTTAATTCGGCAGACAATTGTAATAACAGTAGTCTTTTATTTGTCATTGACTCAACCGTTTCGTCGCTCAAGCGAGGCATTCCTTCCAACTAGGTATTATATATCACCTTTTGGTGATATATGTATTGTGTCTGTATTGCTCATCGAGACGCACCGAAATGTAAGTAAATCACCAAACGTCTGTCACTAGAAGCCGTAATATACGTGTACTTTCCTAATATAATTTAAAATGTGAGGTTAGCTGTCACTTTCCACTCTGAATCAGTTAGATCCATTGTCTGGTCAAAGCAGGACTAATCACAATATTACTGAGCTTCATTCCAATGTACGGCCGTTATAGCCGATTCTCAGCGCCATAAATATGGCGGCCGACCAGAGTACACCACTCGGAATTAAATACTCCAGACAAGAACAATTTCAGCCTTTTTAATATGTCACGTCTTTGTGGTTACGACTCTATGACTTCATGGGGTTACTTAGAGTTGCATCAACAAGTACAATTCTATTGGAATCTTCTATCGGTCTGTTTCACTAATGAAAGAGGTATGGAGTGCAGAGCACCAATTTCACTTCATCGCCTTCTTTGATCTAAAATTGCACAAAAGGCAACTAATGAATTGAACTGAATCATACATCTGTTTCCTCCTTCTAGTACACGTCAGTGATGATAAGGCTTTAATTTTGAGGAGGCGACTGAGGCAAAACAACACAAATTTGTCAAACTTTCGATACAGAGATTCGCTAGCCTAAAAATACAAATAATTTCATCAGCTAATAATTTCATATTATATCATATACTGAACCGTGTGTATAGTCAGTGTGTATATTAATTACAACATGGCATGAGGGTTATCACAAACGTTAGGGGACTTAAAAGTCCACCAGTGACGTCATCAATTTACGAGCATTCATCTGTCACCATAAAAATACTTGATAGGAAAATATATTGTGTAATATGAAGTTAACGGTGTTTGGTGCTCGTTAATATGCATGGTGGTTTCGTTGTTGTTCATTTAGGAACTTTTATCCTCACGATATATCAGTCTTAAGGTCATTGAACTTGTTTCAGGACTATCTATGTAAATCGTCCTTTTGTTCATATTTCGCCCACGATTTACATTTGAATGTAGATGCTTTTAACATTTCGGTATTTTTGTTTTTGGATGCTAAATAACGCCCCCACACAAGCCAATTCTATCATTCACACCGTTGTACACCACGAGAACTGGAACGTGCTTTATCAATCCAACAAAAGTGGTTTGTTACCTTTGTATGGATATATCTTACATGTGCCTGCATCACAATAGTAAGAGAAGTCTCTAAAGACTGATACTATTAATAATACTGGTAGCATTGCTATTTTTTTCAAATCTATGTGTATGTACAGTTCATCGGGCTGTTTACAACACCGAGAGGTAATATTTTTAACTGTTGACAGTTACATGAATTATCCAAAACAATCAGTTATTGACCAATTATGCTAAGAATTAGACTTCTCTACCTGTACGGTAAGCTATACCTAGAATAAGATTACATCGCGGTCAAAAAGACGCTTTTTAGAAATCGTTTGAACGCTTGGGCGCTATATCGGCTTGACACGATTTGATATACCAGTTTCTACGGAAATAAGAGAAACAATTTTTAATTTACATTCTGGTAAAGTAGTTATTTAATCATGATGACAGAAATGGGTTAGGTTTTCATAAACTGGTCACTATTTAATCATTAGACAGAGTAGATTGCTGACTGTAAATCTGCTATCATCCGGAGAAACTTCAAAGCAATTCTTATTTAAAGTGTACCTAGATTACGGTATAGTATTAATTAATATTAATTATGTTTCCTTTCTTATTAAAAAAATCGGAAACCCGGTCAAAATTTGTCGCTTAGTTTTTGAGATATTTGTCGTTAAATTCACCGTTCGGAACCGGTTTGCACCTGTCGATGGAGGCTAATTAACACACTTCCCAACTTCCGGTTAACAGACCGGAAAATCCCGTGACGTCACAAGGGTAGCGCTTGGTCTAAGAAATGATAATGTCGGACAGTGATAACAGCGAGTGCGAGTGGTTCGAAGACTCAAACAATTCGGAAGAATGCAGCCTGAATTTAAGCTTTGAATCTTCTGATTACGACACGGAGGTTATAGAGAGACAAGCTGGTATTCAACCATACCAATTTGAACCCGAGGTAGATGGTGAAAGCAGTCCATCTTCACCTGCGTCGTCTACACGTAGCGATGATAATGCTGATCGCCTGGGATCCTTAGACTGGTATGTTCAGAGATGTTAGCTTTCACGTATGATTATTTTTTTTCCAGGAATTTTCCCTTTTCAAAATGCATCGTGCATGTTAACAAATGCGGATTTTCAGGATTTTTTCTCCACTTGCTCAACCTCACAAGTCCGACTTTGTCGAGATAATAACAGCCAATGCCTTTTTTTTGCATTTACAAATATTTGACTTTTACATAATACCCACCCCTAAATATTTTGTGTTACATAAATTAATGTGCATAGCATTTCTTTTTACAAAGGAGAACATTTCCTGGAAACAAAGTGTATTCTTTTGCTATGTCAAATGGTACTTGTATGTACTATAAAGTGTTGAATAGAAAACTTCTAACAAGACATTTTAAAGGTATTTTCACACCAACATACTAGTGAATTATGTATAAAACACAGAAAATTTTATATGTTACAGGTGTCTTTGCGGTAACTGCAGTCTTATGCCTACCATTGAGGAGTGCAGGTGCTGTAGTGAGATACACAGTGTACTGAACACAAAAGACGACATACCAGGGATACAGTGCATAACAGACCATCCTGGATTTGGGCCAGTCTGTTTGGATATTTATGTGCTGAGAACATCTTATTTCCAGTACAGACAACTTCATGGAGAGATACCAGAATGCCCTGAGTAAGTTATGATGTTTATCTACAGCATCAAATTTATTATTATAAAACTTGAAACATAATAAAATAATTCATTTGTTAAGAAGATATTTTAAAAATGATGTTACAAACTTGTCTATCAAGTTACAGGTCTAAAATACTGCAAAAGAACCAATAACCAGACAAGATAAAATAGATTTTCAATAATAAGTCAACATTTCTGAAAATCTGGTTTGGAATTGTTACACATATGTATTGTAGAGTTACTTGTGTTTACCATAATTCACTAGTGCTTGCATCCTCCGCAGATTAATGGCAAACTTGGCATTAACAATGATTACAGAATATATTTTTCTTGTTTTATCAGGAGATACCGCTATACAGCATACAGACAATTTGTGAGATGGTGTTGGGGGTACTTGGGAAAAAGCATAAGAGTGCCATTACCTGCGTGTGCTGTGAAGATTATTAGAGAAACATTTCCTGCACCAAATGGAAATTTTAAAGGTTTTAATTTTGTGCATTAAAAATATGTGTTGAAAACATTAAAAGAATGACATGAAACAATAAAATTATAATTGATATCTGATTGTTGTTTTTTATTCATATATACAATTGAAACTGTAATAGGATCTGTAAGTCTCGTCATGTGACCTACTAGAACATACCTCTTAACTTGAACAATCATAACTATGAAAACGGAGGATTACCAGTAGGTACGTTTTTAAAAACTCCTTGGGAAATGTGCATTTTGTCGAAATTGAAAATACTTTTCTTCTATAAGACTACTACCTAAAACGTCAGTTGGTACACAGAAGTAAAGTAAAACAGACTTGCAGACCATATTAAAAAACAGATGAAAATTCATGTACATGTATGTATTTTAAATGTTCATGTTAAATCTTGATTCCATCAATGCGACAGCTTCCATTTTTACAGGTCTGACAAAATCACTACAGAGTGGTGGGGGTTGGTCTTTAAGTAGCATATCCTCCACTTGCATCGTACTTTTTTCTGCCACTTGTAGCACTTCTGCCATCAGTTCATGTACATAGTCTGTAAGATAAAAAGTACATATACAAGTACACTGGTTTTATTATTTTTTCCAATCACTATTACACAAAATCTGACACTATTGCTAGTAAAGACTTTAAATGTTTTGTATACATGGACATATTTTCCTGCAACTAAAATGCAAGTTGTTAATTGAAGAATCATGTACTGCAATATATAGAATACTGAACCTAACCTAAAATATTGAACTCGTCTTCATATGCAACATAATACTTACCAAATGTTTGTTTTGTTTTGACTTTTCTGACAGTGTATCCACCTTTCTTCTGTTTAGGGTAGATTATCTTAAACATTTTCTCCCCAGCAGATGTCATGGCTTGTTCTCTTCTCACATTTTCATTGTGGTGAAGTGCAGCTAGAATCACCCTATTCAAAGAGATGCAACAATATTTAAACTTTCCTGATTAAGTATCATCAATATCTTAAGAATTAAGACTGGCTGCCTAAATCTTTTACATACTCATTTTAACATATCTTACATCTAGCTACAACACTAAATCTCTTTTAACATTGCAATATTCACCACAGGAGTTTTGAGACAGGTAGACTACTAGTGAATAATGATATTTCCACAACCTGTTGATGATGTTAGATCTTGAGACAGATATACATATACGATCAACTTGTCTGTACAAATTGATGTCTAAAGAAATAATAGTCTTATGAGAATCATGTGATCATATACCTGCACAACATTCCATTGAATGAAAAGCCATGTATTTTAGGGGCAAACTGGTTAACTGTTGAGTGGTACCCTTCTAGTTCTGAAGTTTGGTGATGTGTTGATAGCATGGGAATGTCCTTTTTCATTTGTGGTGATGTCAACATCAGTTCTAGCTTCTCCATTACTTTACTCTCTGAAAAGTGAAAGTGAGGATTTCAAATGATGAAGTAAAAATATAATATGGGATCATAAGGAATTTAGAACACGAATATTAATTCCATGCTAAGAACAAGAAACTAAAGATACCATTTTCCTGGATGTGCTTTTCATTCAGGTGAAAAATGTCATTGCTAAAGAAATTAGGCACTTAAAATGTTTTTAAGCAAGTGATAAATGTCATTCGTAATTTAGTTATGATTTGAATTATTGATACGTCACCAATTTCGAACCAAATGAATAAGTAAGCAAGTTAAAGGTAGGATACACAATAATTGAGTCAATGCCATAACAGGAAAAATACCTGGTTTTATCCATTTCTTCTTCCTTTCCTGTGTTCTCAAGTCATCATGCAGACAGCAAGGAAACAGATCTGAAGATACCTCGCATACACTGAAACATTTACTGGGAAAAGGTTTATTAAATGCTTAATAGGAGTATTGTCCACTAAGGAAGGCTGCATTACTCATTACCTTTTCTACTCAGATACTACTATAACTTATATGATATACATAGGCCCTAGATCTTCATGTATTATGTAATAATTACCCTTCTGTTCTCTCTTTTTGCGAAAGCAGTCCGTGGTCTTTTGACAGGCGTTTCCTCTACGTTGGTGCAGCCTTTGTTAATCGTTGGCACAGCATCTTTTATTAGCGTTTTCTTTTTCGGTGGTGTACGTCCCATTGATTGAAGAAATCTGTACTGCATCGGGTAGCAGTCCTCACCGAAATGTTCCGAACACAAAACTGAATGTTTTGTTGGCCCGTCCCACAAATCCCTTTTCCTCCGCACAAATGCAGTCCAAACTTTGCATATTTCCGGTCTGTCTAATGGGAAAAAATGAAGTGAAACACCGTCTAAAGTGGTGTTTCCACATCCATACGCTACACATCTCTTCCCACGTGAACGTTTGTTGGTCGGAGTCGCTTCCATAGTTAAGCTAATACTTCGAATTTCGCACGTTTTGAATAAAAATAAATATCACTTGATACGCACAAATATGGTAGGATATAAATACAGGACGAGAAGTATGAAGATTAAACAACCAAACGTCTGTTTCACATATTTTCGACAGTCTACACGCGAAAGTTACCTGGCATGGCGGGTCGTCCCAAATGCTACCCTTGTGACGTCACGAGCAAATAGAGCCTCGATTTGATGTGAGAGCGGTTTATTCAAAGGTATGTTTTTCGGTTTTTGCCGTAAAGCATAAAAACTATAAAACTGAAATGATTTTTTTATATATATTTATGAACGTCTATATACATACCAATTAACAACTATAAATAAACATGTAATCTAGGTACACTTTAAGTTGGTTAAAAGGTGACCAGCTAGACACAATGGACTGGTCATCGTTAGCATGGATACACGTGATTCTGATAAACAAATCCATTTGTTCACCACAGCAACAGATACCTGTGCAACACTTTAATTCACCAACATATTGGCACAATCCGACATCACAGCCATGATCTTTGGTATGTTGATCACTTTTTAACACGAGATATGTCGACCTGGTGAATGCAGGGCAGATCGAAGTAGAATTTGGAATTCTGTTGTGCAAAATTTAACGTCCTGAATATACATATAAATCTGCCTCATGACCATTAACACCAGAGGAAACAACCTGTGACAGAGGTGGTGTATTTCCCTAGGTGATGGCTTACATTGTATGAAATGTTCTGCTGCCAATTAGTCCAGTCACATTTATCTCCCAAGGCGTGACATTTACTTTGATAGCAGATATTAATATTTTCGAGTAACTTTTAGAGCAACACATTGATCACGTGACAATTATATATCAGACACACATAAAACATTCTTATAATTAATGTCAAGAATTACTGACGCTACAAGAAGTTAACGGTAGACCAGACATCTGCCTGGAAGGTCAGCGGGATTTATTGGTTTTGTCGTATTAGGTACGTCGTCATCAGAACAGCCATTGTTTCAGTTTATTGTATTGAAAAAAGATGACGCAAAATACTTCATAAATTTTATTCTTAGGTTTGCATAAGTTAAAAACTACATTGGCATGAAATATGTTTGCTGAGAAACATACCAGTATTGTACATCTGTAACAGTAGATCGCGTGATCAAGGTTGGGGTCAGAGAGTCGGGTTCAATATTTAAGGGAAAGCTGCAGATAACCCGAGTTACAGATAGTGGGGTCCAACACACAGAGAATTGGTGAATTAACCCCTGTCCCTCATTCCCTACACAGATACAGAGACTGAGTTAGAGATAGTGGGGTCAAATACAGAGAAGAGGTGAAGTTAACCCCTGTCCTTATTCTCTAGACAGATGGAGACTGAGTTAGAGATAGTGGGGTCCAATACACAGAGAAGAGGTGAAGTTAACTGAGTTAGAGATAGTGGGGTCCAATACACAGAGAAGATGTGAAGTTAACCCCTGTCCTTATTCTCTAGACAGATGGAGACTGAATTAGAGATAGTGGGGTCCAATACACAGAGAAGATGTGAAGTTAACCCCTGTCCTTATTCTCTAGACAGATGGAGACTGAGTTAGAGATAGTGGGGTCAAATACACAGAGAATAGGTGAAGTTAACCTCTGTCCCTCTTTCCCTAGGCAGATGGAAACTGAGTTAGAGATAGTGGGGTCCAATACACAGAGAAGAGGTGAAGTTAACCCCTGTCCCTCTTTCCCTAGGCAGATGGAAACTGAGTTAGAGATAGTGGGGTCCAATACACAGAGAAGAGGTGAAGTTAACTCCTGTCCCTACTCCCTCAGTACAGATCTCCAAGTAGATCCACAGAGACAAGAGGTCCAAAACACTGGAAACAGGGTAATTTTACCCCTGTCCCAATTCTAAATACACACAAGAGACTGTAATAGGTCTGATAGGGGGGTCCAAAACAAAAGGTGTCATGAAGCATTTGTTCATATATAATAATATTAAAATACATATATATGTATTTCTATTTGCAATAGCAGAGAGGTAAAAACTAGCACTAAAATTCATTCACTAACCATGAGGCTTTTAACATCTTAGCTATCACACTTTTTACAATATTATCAAGTATGATTAGGACAAAATAGCACTTTCTACATTTCATAGTGTCACTTTACACCTGGGAAGAATATAAAACAGAAACATTTCAACAACACTTTGGTTAGAAATGGCCGGATAGAGCTTATAATATTGCAGCAGTAATATTGAGCTCAAAACTTTTCATCCAATCAAAGAATTGAAGACTCAAAATTCAAAACTTTTTTAGCATGTAAAATCATACTAATTCAGTTTTCCAAGAGCTTTCTTGTAAAAGATAAACACAAAATGCATTCAGTTTATTAAATAAGTTAATATCAAATAACAGAGTGTATTGAAATAAAAAACACTGAACTGTACACAGAGGGAAATGCCAGTATTGTGAATTCTCTGTTATAAACAATTTATTGCATACCCTTAGGTCTGAGTATAAGTAACACTTTGTATAATAATTTCTTACTTCTATACAAATAACAGTGAGCTCAAACAACATTCTAGTACTTTAGTGGTAAGATTTGAGGTAATGTCGCCCAATAAATGGGCGGTGATAAAAACATTCACTAACAATACATATCTTTACATTTATATGTAAATATAAACTAGACCACAGTATCTCTGTAAACAAACAAACATTAGAGGATATATCAGACACAGATGGCAGGTTAAAGCTTCTGTTGTAAATATATCTGTTGGGAACTTAATACCAGTCCTATATTATAAACTTCAAGTTATAAGACAATAAATGTTAAAAGAAACTATAAATTAGATTGCAAGATTAACTGATAAAGACCACAAACTCTTGCCTCCAAACAACCGTCCTATATTTCACTATCAATTACCTAAACCTATTGCTCTAATGCCCAATACCGGGATATTTTTAGACCTTAATTCCTTCAAATATTAAAAATATATAATTCTAGTGACAGGATATAGCTACATAATTCACACCATAGCTTTCCCATCACCTTGTTGTACCTGTCAGTTTATAAATATGTTTACAATGTAAGAAGTTGAAGCTAGAGAATCTAAAATAAGGCTATTTATATCTAGTAATACAACTCCATTTCTAACAAGACTAGGTTTTATGGAATTCAACAGATGCTGTCTTGCCTGTGATTATACAGGCATCATTGGCTTGTCTTGTTGCAGGGATCACTAGTATACACTGTACCACTTTATGTATTATACCAAACACCACATAACACCAATTATGCTTTCAAAGCGCTCAATCTCTTACTCATCCATTCCAACAATTCATCAAAACAAATGACCAATCAGAAGCTTGATTACATTCATTATAAAATATTGCAATCAATCAGTATCCTCCACCTCGTCCTCTGCCACCTCGACCACTTCCTTTTCTTCCTCTACCCCCTCGTCCTCCACCCCCTCCTCCTCCTTGATAATTATCACTTTGTCCACCTTGATGATAACCTCCTCCTCCTCCTTGGCCACCATAGCCACCACCCTGGTTACCATAGCCTCCTCCTTGGCCACCATAGCCACCACCCTGGTTACCATAGCCTCCTCCTTGGCCACCATAGCCACCACCCTGGTTACCATAGCCTCCTCCTTGACCACCATAGCCACCACCTTGGTTACCATAGCCACCGCCCTGGTTACCATAGCCACCCCCACCTCTCCCTTGGTTGTAACCACCGCCACCTTGACCCCAGTTGCCACCTTGTTGGTTGGGATTTGCATCACCCCATCCTCCTTGCACCTTTCCTCCTCTTCCTCCACCTCCACCTCCACCTCCTCGACCCCGACCACCTCCATGTCCACCTAATACAAAAGTAATCATGTGATCTGATGAAGATAAGAACATAAAGAAACACTGTGTTGTGTCGCAGTTTCATTTTACCAAAGTTACTGCACAATCATAATTTCCATATCTAAACCATCCTAGATTTGTTTTATGTTGTTAGGGCTGAAGCAAGAGATCAGTTTTAGTTATGCTGAATATTACGATGTCTTGCAGAAAATGCTGTCATACATTGGAAGTGTTTACACATCAATAACAATGATTCCAATATGTTTGCAAATTTGCTAAAACTGCAAAGTTTCTACAGTGCTGTCATTTAACCAGCTCTGATATCTATACATAGTTATCAGATTTTTTTTCTGTGTGTATTTTGTATATTTCTTTGTTATTTGTGATGACATTAATGGATAGTCTTTAAGTACATTTAACAACATATCTATACACTGTTGGCACTCACTTTGTGGTCGCTGTGGTGCCGCCTCCCTCTTCATAAAGGACGGCATTTCTGGCGGAGGTGGCTCTAGTTCCCATGCCCGACCTCCTCTGTCTGGTACCTACCAGCAACAAAATGCACTGTTGTTTCAAAGGTTTCAAACTGTGAACTACATTCATTGAAATTAAAATGAACATTTTCCATACCATCTTTTAACTTTAAAATAATATATACAAAATATTACAAATGTTGTAATCAATTCTCACAACAAATTGGACAGTTTTCTGACACTGGTTACCTCCCCTCATTCTGCCTACCTTTGGTATGAGGACTCTGTTTATGGCACACTTTGTTTTCTCCCTGGCATCACCACTGCTAGTCTTCTCTAGGCGTGTCAAGTCTTGAGAAATAACATACAGAATGATAAGGACTAATAGACCTGACTATAATACTGTCTAGTCTTAGAAAATAGCAAACATGGAGGACTACATCTGTTGGTACTAAGAGGAGATAACAAAACAGTCTTGTCGGTGAAAACAATGGAGGACTGTTTTTGTTGGTAGTGAGAGGAAATAACAAAACAGTCTTGTCGGAGAAAACAATGGGGGACTGTTTTTGTTGGTAGTGAGAGGAAATAACAAAACAGTCTTGTCGGAGAAAACAATGGGGGACTGTTTTTGTTGGTAGTGAGAGGAAATAACAAAACAGTCTTGTCGGAGAAAACAATGGGGGACTGTTTTTGTTGGTAGTGAGAGGAAATAACAAAACAGTCTTGTCGGAGAAAACAACGGGGGACTGTTTTTGTTGGTAGTGAGAGGAAATAACAAAACAGTCTTGTCGGAGAAAACAACGGGGGACTGTTTTTGTTGGTAGTGAGAGGAAATAACAAACCAGTCTTGTCGGAGAAAACAACGGGGGACTGTTTTTGTTGGTAGTGAGAGGAAATAACAAAACAGTCTTGTCGGAGAAAACAATGGGGGACTGTTTTTGTTGGTAGTGAGAGGAAATAACAAAACAGTCTTGTCGGAGAAAACAACGGGGGACTGTATTTGTTGGTAGTGAGAAGAAATAACTAACCAGTCTTGTCGGAGAAAACAACGGGGGACTGTTTTTGTTGGTAGTGAGAGGAAATAACAAAACAGTCTTGTCGGAGAAAACAATGTAGTTAGATGACATTCAGGTACTTTACATTTGGCTGTATTCATGACTGATAGAATTTCACAATATTTGCTGTCAATAAAGAAAATGGGGCATTATATCATGAAACAATCTTACCCTAAGAAACAACCAACAAAGACGACTGTTAATTGTGAGAGTTAAGAGAGAACAGGTGTCTTTGGAAATGACATATGATCATTGGATATATAAAGAGAAAATGAATTTCTAATCTGAAGCCAACGCTAAACTTCTTAAACACCTATCTAATTGCATTTTCATATACAAATATTTTCATCAAATCTCTACCACATACTCACCGTCCCTAGCTGAAAGGATTTGAGCAACTCCTATGGCTGGTTTTGTCTGAAGACTTTTTCGAACGGGTTGATATACTGCAGCAATATCATTTTCTTTTTGCTAAAAAGAAAGAATAATGAATCTAAGTCCCGTTCTTCAATGATGTATATATTATGTGTGTGGTGATCTTGTTTAAGTCTGTAAGCACAACAAGATCAAATATGATCAAAGGGAGGTAATATTGTTGTAATAGCAAATATACCTAATAATGACCAATACGAAACCATATCATACCTGATAATCCTCAGGAGACCTTGTGAAGTCATTTCATAGTTTACTTTCTTGCATAGACACTTTCAAAATGGAAATCATGATAAAGTCGGAGAATCAAAATAACGACCAATGCTCAGACAGACAATACTGATGTAAAATTTAAAAGCGGTGATACTCAGTTTTATGTTCACATAATGTTTAAACTTTCAAGGACATTTTTTAAATGGAAATCATGAGAAAAAGACATACATCTACCCTAATTTGAAAATATAAAACTATATTTAGTGTATGTAAATCACATGGTGAAGTGTTCTGGGAAATATATCTACATACAAAGTAGATGATTTTTAGGACATTTGGTATTACATTACACAACAAAGCAACCTAGACAAGGTGAAGTAAGGATGGAGATATGATTTTGATATGAATTTTTAAAATATAAAATAGTTCTATGTCTTAACAAGAATCCAGTGCCTGTTATTTTAAACAACATTTAGATGTAAAAGAAAAAAGTTAGGTATGTCAATTTGATAGAAATTGCCATTTGAATATTTGACTGATACAGTATTCTAAAATGTCTTTTCATGTCAATTCCACACAGTACGCAACTTTTGCTTTAAGATTGCAGTCAATACACACCAGGCCTAATAAACTGTATCAGTAACTTTTTACCAGAATGGAAGAGGACGGTACCTAGAGTGACTCAATGTTTTACCTACAGTGAATTGATGTTTTACCTACAGTGACTCGATGTTTTATATACAGTGACTCAATATTTTACCTAAAATGACACAATGTTTTACCTACAGTGACTCAATGTTTTACCTACAGTGATTCAATGTTTTACCTACAGTGACTCAATGTTTTACCAAAAGTAATTTGATGATTTACATGCAGTGACTCAATGTTTTACCTACAGTGACTCAATGTTTTACCAAAAGTGATTTGATGTTTTACTTACAGTGGCCTGATGTTTTACTTACAGTGACTCAATGTTTTACCTACAGTGGCTTGATGTTTTACTTACAGTGACTCAATGTTTTACTTACAGTGACTCAATGTTTTACCTACACTGACTCAATGTTTTACCTACAGTGGCTTGATGTTTTACTTACAGTGGCTTGATGTTTTACTTACAGTGGCTTGATGTTTTACTTACAGTGACTAGATGTTTAACCTACAGTGAATTGATGTTTTACTTACAGTGACTCAATGTTTTACATACAGTGACTCAATGTTTTACCTACAGTGGCTTGATGTTTTACTTACAGTGACTAGATGTTTTACCTACAGTGGCTTGATGTTTTACTTACAGTGGCTCAATGTTTTACCTACAGTGGCTCAATGTTTTACCTACAGTGACTCAATGTTTTACCTACAGTGACTCAATGTTTTACCTACAGTGGCTCAATGTTTTACCTACAGTGACTCAATGTTTTACTTACAGTGACTCAATGTTTTACCTACAGTGGCTTGATGTTTTACTTACAGTGGCTTGATGTTTTACTTACAGTGACTCAATGTTTTACCTACAGTGACTCAATGTTTTACCTACAGTGACTCAATGTTTTACCTACAGTGGCTCAATGTTTTACCTACAGCGACTCAATGTTTTACCTACAGTGGCTCAATGTTTTACCTACAGTGACTCAATGTTTTACCTACAGTGACTCAATGTTTTACTTACAGTGACTCAATGTTTTACTTACAGTGACTTGATGTTTTACTTACAGTGGCTTGATGTTTTACTTTCAGTGACTAGATGTTTTATATACAGTGACTAAATATTTTACCTAAAATGACTCGGTGTTTTACCTTTAGTGACTTGATGTTTTATATACAATGACTCAATGTTTTACCTACAGTGACTCAATGTTTTACCTACAGTGACTCAATGTTTTACCTACAGTGTCTCGATGTTTTACCTACAGTGACACAATTTTTTACCTACAGTGACACAATTTTTACCTACAGTGACTCGATGTTTTACCTACAGTTACTCAATTTTTTACCTACAGTGACTCAATGTTTTCAATACGATGAAGGTACCACATGAATAGTTATACTAAAATTGTTAGTTGTAAGAAATAAGATCAATTTTCTAGGCCTTTGAACTTGTTGTTAAAAATAAGATCAATTAAAAAATGTCAGAAAAAGATATTGAAATCAGCAACGAATATTTCTGATTAGATGTCAACATGTTCATCAGGTAGTTCTCATTGTCAATGTAGCAATTCAAATATCTGCAGGAAGTTAACATAACTGGATATATCTGATATATATAACACAATTATTTTGTAATTACTGTCTGTAAATGTCCAACAGAAATATCAAATTAAATGCTGATTATAGCGATCAACAACAATGTAAGGCTAAAGTTCACGACAATATTACAGGTACGGCTTTGTTGTTTCATGTGCACAAGGTGCGAAACTTACTTGGATAGGGATGACTGCAGGATTACTGCTGTTAGGCTAATAAGTGTCAAATGAAATGTACAGGTGTACAACAAATACCTTGATGATTTACAAAATTCTAATCAGAATGAAAATTGGACAATTAGTCCACAGAGAGCAGATTAATTTCAACCACCTTGCAAATGTTGATATTTTACCATTGTGAAAAGGAATATTCAATTACCATTTTCCTATTCAAATACTGCCCTACCAAACAAAAATGTGAATATTTGATGACATCCCCCACAAGAAATTCACTTTTTTCTTGTATCTACAGATTACACCCTGAAATGCTTACCTTGGCTTTCTCTGACCACATGAATGACTGGACCGTGACATCTAGACGTTTCAATAACATTTCACGCCTTGTCTGGTACTCGCGACATAAAGCCTCGTTTATCTTCAGCACCTGATCCCACTGTTTATCAGACAGGCGAGCCTTCAGTAAAGATGTACCTGCCTGATTTGGGAACTTACTCACAAGATCTTGAATCTAAAACATCGAAAGTTTAAAATACTGGGCATTTAAACTAACTCATAACTATAGATTAAAACAATGACTCAGTTGATCAATGACACACAAGAGACAAATTGATGGTATTTATGAAATTATGTTTTGAGATGTGATAACAATTTTGATTCAGTTCAGGGAAATGCGGGTAAAAACTCATCAAATGAATCCTACATAGGACACGAATGTCAGGAGGCCAAAATTTCTAGAACTGCACTAACTTGAACAGCCCTTGATGCACACTTTTTATAAATTCTTAGCACACATTTTGCTACTTCAGTAATTTATAATAAAAAGCATTTCTAATAGAATGACAAATTAACTAAAAAACAAAAAAAAAAAATCCCTAGATTTTGTCTGAGTCTCCATTTCATTGAAGAGCCGAAAGCAATTAATGTTCCCAAGAGATTTGGACACAAATGAACTTACCTTAGCCTCTACTTTACTGAAGAGTTGAAACGAAGTAATACTGGCTGGAGGTTTAGAGATCTCAAGTGCTATTAAAAGGATACGTAGATGCTTGGCTACATCACTCTCTATCTGTTAGACATCACATAAAAAAAAGGAAAATACGGAAAATTTATCATGAGATCACCAGTTTCAAGACAAAGATACTTGACCAGAGACACAATATAAGAATGGTATGCTATTTCAGTTGATTCAAAAAAGTTGTTGATAAGGCAAAGGAGACTATAACCAGCTACACCTGCAGTAATTATACTGTGCACATTCCACAATATCAGTTACATAATAACTCTGTGCAAAAATGAGATATTCATTTTTGCTGAATAAGCATTTTAAAAAATGTAAACACAAGATTAACTGGTTAGAACTATCTATATTATATAACATTTTATCAATATTACTTTTATTATTATTATTATTAGTAGTAGTATTACTGCAATAATGCAGGAGTTTGGCCAGGCATTTATCAATGTTTCACTACAAATTGGAAAAAGAGCATGTTTGGAATTCAAATGGCAAAAAATAACAAAAACTCAATAAAAGCACTGAACATTTTCAGTTTTAATTGATACCTTCAGCCTGCAGCGTATCCTTAAATTGGTAACAGACCGAATGATAGTACAAATTTCCTTAGTCTCCCCAAAATTTGGTGCAATCAGACAATTACCTATCAAATGTACATTATTTCAAATTTGAATACAATGAAATATTTTTAAGACTTTTCATACAATCAGCTGATTGGAAAAAATTAAGGTCAAATTTGGGAAAAACACAAGACAATGTTTTATTAGGAATAAGATACATTACCAGACACTACAAACACCTCACAAAATCCCTATAAAGGTATGCCTTTGTTCCAAAATAAAGCAAATAGAAATAATTTTACTAGCTTTGGAAACTGAGGTTTTGGTCATATTCTAGAGTTAAAGATAAAAATTTCCAAGCCCCATAAATACATGTTTACTGAAACACTTATGGCTTACTTGATACATGCTTTCAGTGAACACTGCTAGACTGGTCTGTAAGAACAAATCAAGTGGTGACACTTATTTAAATAGACATTTTATGCTCTCCACTCTTAATTACCATTTCTACAGGCTTTGTGGAGGTAGGGGCACTGTTGGCCTTCAGCTGACTTGGTTGTTTAGCTGCTATCATCCTCACTGAGGCAAGCTCTGATGTAAGGTAATCTGTAAATAACAATACAAACATATTTGTACAGAAAAGATTCTACATGGAAGAGAGATACTCTTAATGGGCCTGTATCTCATGTATTGAATATCTTGTCTATGATATGGATACAAAAATATTAAAATTTACAACATAAATTTGTTTCTTCCCCATTGCCTTCTACCTATTCCCTGCAGTCTGAGCAGAAATGACCAAAGCTTAGTGAATCTAACTGTAATATCTATATATCACAGATCACCAACTTCTTAGTTATTTTAATGAATAAAAAAGCAATTTTTACAATAAACCAGTACACAGATAGTTTATAGAAGGAAATCAACTATCAAAAGATACACCCACAGCTACTTTACTATGTCTATTTTTACACAAAACCTTCTGATTCAGCATATGACCTGTCCCAATTTTTTTAAGCCCATGAAATTGGTAAACCTACAAATAAATAACCAAGAAAACATAGCCTTATAACAATTTTTGAAGCAGAACATGAATACTAACTGTAGTATCTATGCCAGTCAACTTTCTCCTCCTATTTTCTGATCATAAAAGTTGAATAATGAAAGGAATTAATATCTTTTGAGCATAATGTTTTGCCAAGTATTGGTAACACATTTAACTGATTCTAACTGCTGTTGAGAGAACATCTTTATACTATGTTTGTCTGTAAGTCACTTTAAAGGACAATTCAACTTACATATAGCAAGGATGCACAATCTGAAGAACTTTTACTTGAAACACTATCTTGAACAGAATATCTAAAAGATGTATATATGATAGAGGTTCTATGGACCTGTTCAACAGTCCACACAGAAAACTGTTCATAAAGTCAATATCTGTTAACTTGAAATCCTTTTCCTCAAGCATGCTACTACACAAATATCATGATCCAGGACATATTACTTGTTAAAAGAAGAAAATTTAAGTTCTGAATACATTTGACCCCAGTGACCTTGAATGTGGGCCACGGTCGTTCACTTGAAAAAATTGGTAGCCTTCATCCCAGCACGCTAAAGTCTAATAATAGAACCCTTGGCCTTTTGCTCACTGAGAAGAAGTCATTTAAAGATTTTAACACATTTCAACCCCTCAACCTTGAAAGTAAATCAAGGTCATTCATGTTAACATACCTGGTAGCCCTTCATCCCAGTATGTATGCTACAGGCCTGATATTGGCACCCTGGGCAATTTTGTAACTGAGAATTCATGTGGTGATTTAAACACATTTGTATCCTGTGACCTTGAAAGTGGGTCAATGTTTTTCATTTTAACAAACTTTACAGCCCTTTATCCTAGCATGCTACAGGCCCAATATCAACACCTAGGGTATTCTTGTAACTAAAACGTCATGTGAAGATTTAAAGACATTTGACCCCTGTGACCTTGAAAGTGGGTCAAGGTCATTCATTTTAACAAACTTTACAGTACTTCATCCTAGCATGCTACAGGCCCAATATGAACACCCTGGGTACTCTTGTTATTGAGAAAAAGTTGTTTGAATGGAAAGTTTGCACATAACGACGGAACACATCCTTATGATGCATTTCATATGTAGACTCAATTTTTTTTGATGAGAGTACTTACCAAGCAACTGTAGTCGACTTTTCTTTGTGTTGAGTCTGTCAGAGACTTGTGTTCCCTCAAACAATTCCTTATATGGACAATCTACATATGTACAGAAGAGTATATATTGCATAAGAATCATCATTGTTAGTGTTACTAATTCAAAAATATTTCAATTGTCTCAGTTTATTATTATTTGAGACAAAAACCCTGAATACACTGACAAATCCGCTATGGATCATGTTTCAGTGAAAAATAGTGGATCCAGTTGCAAGACTGTATCAATTCAGAAATTTCAAAACAATATCAAGAAAGACACTTTGAAATATGCCAAATTTAGTCTCATGACAATCAAACCAAACTTGCTGTATCATAAATGATTAGAGATATCACTCACTTAATTCTCGCAAACAACTTCCGAGTTCCATAATAAAGTTGGAGGCTTCATCAGGACCTTCAAAACAAAAATAAGGACTTTTTGTTACCACAATATTATCATCAACAATGAAAGATTATCAATGTCCAATGTATATACCAATCACATACCATGTAACTACTTCTGGGAAAACCAGTCCTTGAAAGAGAGTGCTGATGCAGATTATAAAAGATATATATGTACTTTCATTTAAAATCTGAGAAATATTTTAGAAATATGACGTCATGTCATTTGCTAAATTGCTTAAAAAAAAAAAGAAAAACTGATATCTATTTATCTTTCAACACTTATAAAACAAGTTCTTTTACTCATACTGGCCTGTATATGGACAAGGATAAAGGTAACACAAGTTCATTCCCTCATACTGGCCTGTATGTGGACAAGGATAAAGGTAACACAAGTTCATTCCCTCATACTGGCCTGTATGGGGACAAGGATAAAGGTCTTCATGTGGGAGGGCACAAGAAGACCTAGAGAAATTCAAAAGTCAAAACCACATAATCAGTGATTATGTGACTAAATACCTAATACATGTACTGTATAACAGGTCTTTTTCACCGAATGCAAATTTTGCCATTAGGTGTCGAAACTGGAATACTTATCTAATCTCAGTCACATCACATAACCTATTGCAGCTACCATTCTTGATGTTATGATTTTAATCTGACTGGTCGAGAAATCACTATATATGAGATCATTTACATTGACAAGTCTTCATTTATGCAACCTTGAATGTTAAATCAAGTTCAGCAACTTACTGTTGATGGCATTAGCACACTCTTCCAGACCACAAAAGTCTCGAAGTTGTCCTGTCAGCCAGGCTACCAGCTTAGTGTACTCCACAGAGGCAGGTCCTGCTTCCACAGCATCATTGAATGCCTGTTCCTCTGACAATGGGCCATCATACCTATGGAATTAATCACAGAAATATGTCATTCTCAACATTTTTACTCACTTTTTCCTTTTTGATGAGGGAGGCAGGCAACACATATCATTTAGCCATGTCAGAAACATATTGTTCCTTTTGTTGAAAACATGTAAAAGATCTTCATGTTTATCAACTTCAATATGACCCTGCATCTGAGTACCTTATTGATTACTCCTAGTAGTAACTATCCCTCAAATCCAGGACTATTACCCATATACAAGGTGGTACCTAATCTATTTAACAGTGCACAGGAACAGTTTAGGCTAGGTACAAAAAATCCCCTCCCTTTCCCTTTGTTGAAAAAAAATCATGAACCCACAGCACACAGTGACATGTGCCTATGGCAAGATACTTGAAGCAATTGTACTATAGTAGTCTGTCCTTGCTATGTTGATCAGGTTCTAACAATCTAAATATATCATATCTAATAATTTATTACGATTTATTACGATACATGATGGAAGCGGGCTGGCTAGTCTCTATATCCATATCAATATTTAACAATTCATGAAAAAATGTGTTAACATTACTTCTGATGCTAATAATATTAACACACTCTACAAATTTCAATGTAAATTTCAGTATACATCAGTTTTACGCTTGCTATTATTAAAGTAACAATGATAAGATATTTCTCCATCACCACATCGAATATTATCATTGCAGTTCGACTGTGATGCTGCACAGCGGATGACATTTCTTTTACCTTCTGTCAGGAATCTTATCTTTTAAATACTGAAACTGCGTATTTAAAAGTAACACTAATTCCTAGCTAAAACATCACATGCTACTGTTTAAAACGATATAAAAATATCAATAAACTCTGTCACAATAAAATATCAACCTTAAATCTTCTAGAGAGTCTAGTATATCATTTTCCATGTTGTCAGCACGTTCCTTGCATTACCGGTCTGCAATCACAACACTTATCAACGACTTCCGGTGACATTATCGACTAGTTTAGACTTTCGTGATTTTGACTTTCTTAAAGAATGTGCGTGTCGGAAATGATTCAAATATTTTTTCTAAATGTGTTTCTTTATTTAAATGTAGTAGTGAAAAATGTATATCTGAATCCGTCAATACCTAGTTGTATTTACACAGGTAGGTGTCTTTTCTTTCGAGCTATTGTTTAATATGTAAACTTTATTTCAACAGTCACAGATATTTACATCACGCCTATTATAAGAGCGATCACATCTGAATCTGACTCGGAAACAAACTTTTCAGTTTACATAAATCCTTCTCCTTATCTGAGACACGTGGATTAATGTTACACGACGACAAGTGGAAAAGTGACCAAGTAGGCGTTGGTTCAATATGGAAGGAAGTGAAAGCGTAATAGAGAGGAAAGTTGCCATCTAACGGTAACAACTGTGTAATTGGGACAGAAAGCAATCATTCAAAACTCTTGGAGCTGATAATGAAGTTTTGCACACTTGAGAAATTCGACGAATTTGCATCGTCGGTAAGCTCGTTGTCACTGAAGAGTAGTATTTTAGTTGAAATATTAAGTACCAAAACAACATATGTAAATCAGAGTCAGAAAAAAATCAACAATGCGATAAAACTATGTGCTCGTCGGTCTCGTCCTGTTGATTACAAGAGCGAAGTGAGTAAACTGATCTACTACACTGGTATATAATACAAGTAAACTGTATCCCATATCCTCATTCTGGCGAACCTTAGATGACACGAAATGTTCATCTAAGTCGTTGATCTGACCCACCCTGCTTACCGCTATAGAAATAACATTGAACTTTGTAGCCTGGTACACGTAGATAAATGATTTTTTAAATTTGGTTTTTGATATAACATTTTTTATTAAATCAAGCAACGAATTCGAGAGACAAATTACAGGTGGCAGAAACGATATATAAAGACATGCACGACAAGACAGAAGACGGAAATTCCTACCAACACGAGTGTTATGATCATGGATGCTGTTATTATTGAGGAGATCAGGGATCATTTTATGAATGACTTTAAGATGTTTACGTCTTTGATCTAGAGGAAGCCAACCAATCTGGATATAAAGTTTCACTGTACTAATTTGCCTTGTTCCGACAGTAAATATACACATTGTTTCTAATTGGACATATTCTATTATGTCAGTTTGAGATTTGTGTGATTATCCCAGATGATGCAGACATATTAAAACATATGTCGAATAAGCGTTAAATACAGAGTTTGAAGAGAAGAACTATCTTGACAAAATTTGATGAAATCTAAGATTTGATTAAGTTAATTTGATTTAGTATAGTGTGTTTAACATACATGACAACTATAAGGAGGAAGAATATACAATGTATAGTGATGTCAGTGACAGGCGATGGAAGCCGAGAATATGTTCGGAAGGACAGCGGTAGAATCATCAGTAGTTGAATGAAGACAGGAAGAAACCCAACACTGAATAGACTTTTTTTCAAAATCATCTGAAAGAACACTGTCATTGTGAAGAAATGGTGATATAGTTTCAACCAAAGTTACTTTCATACATCTTTTAGGCTTCACAATGTGAAGTGTATGTAATTAACCTTGCTGTCATATATACTATTTTTCTCCAGATGTGCTTAACGAATCTTTTCAAAATGAACTGTAGTATACAGCTAAATGAAGTTCAAATTTAATTGGTGACAAACAATTCCGATGTCTAAACTAAATGCATCATCGTCGCTAAATATTTATTTATCTAATTATTTGTGATTAACTGAAATATTACCTTATATGTTTTGTATCAGAGCCATGTACATGTACACAGGTCCCTGATTGTATATACAGTTTCTCAGGTAGATCTGATTATCTGTCAAAGCTTCAGCCTGTCCCGGTCAGATATTTCCGAATTAAATAGTAGGTATTGTTCATGTCCATCGAATGCTGTAATAAAAGATTATTTAATGTTAACCCCTTTTTCCTAAACCTCTAGATTGCCTATATACCACGCCTAACCTTCTTTCAAAATTTCAAATTTACCGTATTTCAATAATACTAGAACTGTATTTAAAAACGTTTACCAAATTATTACAGTTTAAAAATCCTAATTTATCTATACTACCAGAGACGTATGGAATTATCGGTGACATTAAAAGTACACAGTGCTATTGATGTGCGTCTCCTTGTTCTAGGATAGCAATTGTCAGACACTGATAATTCAATAATGTTTATATGTCCTCTTCGAATTGTAAACATTTTTTTCTTTCTGTGACTGTTTATCTTTAAACGTTTGCATGCAAATAGTAAAGGCGCAGATAGGCGATAATCACTATAGATCAGTAATAAGCACTGCAGTTTAGCAAGAGTCGACGAGAAAAATTTTAGCCAATCAGAACGCGTCATACAATTTTCCTCTGACTGAAGAGAGACAACATGTCTTCCCTAAAAGAAATTGTTATGATGTACCAAAGTTTGAAGAGAGAATGGGACAAAAAACCGCCAAACTTAGACCGCTGTGGAGAACTACTTGCGAAGTTAAAGGTCTCAGCTTTGTCTTTGAATAATATTCAATTATTTCCCTGACGGAATTGTAGTTAGAAGCTCATGCCGGCTTTGTTGCTTTTTCAAAATATGCACTGTCACCGCAGTCAGTGAAGCCGTTTTGGATGTCAAAATGGGGGTTGAACGGCACCAGTAGTTATATGTTATCATCGTTATTGCTTCTTTCTAGTTCATCATTTGTACAGTTCAGAAAAGAACGGATGTTTTGACTTAAAACCAGGCTGCTGGTAATATAGTTATATATTGCCAGAATGAATATGTTTGTATGCTAACTATGGTATTGGCTGTAATAAATGAATCTTCATCTTTTATTTAAACAATAATATAATGCCTGTGTCAGATCTAGATTTTATAACAGAAAGAATGTTATTGTTTTATATTACAAGGTAAGTGCTGAGGGGGAGGATGCGTTGCATTTCCGGTCTTTACCCTGTGCACATCTACAAATACTAAGCATGAGATTCCCTGTTGTCTTTAATTAACACTTTTTTAATATAAATGTAATGCAATCAGAATGGATTTTTTTAGATAACATGACAGTAAAGGTTTACTGATCATGTGCTTATAAATTGATTTCATGCTCACTTGGATTTTGTTACATAATGTATATCAATGTGCTAGATTTCCAGGTATCAATGTTAGGCCAACTTGATTTTATAAATGGTTGTCATGTACTTACATGGGGCAGCCACCTTAACTCAGATTTGGCGGGGTCATAAATTAATAACGTTGAATTCTTAGGGAAATACAGAGACATATACCCAGGTGCATAACACATGTGTATGTGTTATATACATTTCTGGTTAATAGGAATTCAGATAAATATTTCTGGATGCAATTTTGTTTATATACCACATCAAACTTAATGGTAGATCAAATGAAAGTAAACATAATATATCACAAAAAATTTGAACTTGTATATAGATGTATGTCTTTATATCTTGATAATGAGACAAATTGCATTTCTGGCCTGAAATCACTCAACTTTATAGGCGGCTTGCTTAAGCCTTAGAAGTGCTTTCTTCCAAACAATGCTAAACATATTTTTCATCAGCCTTCATGTCTAACCAGAAATCAAGGTACAATGTTTCATGGCAAAAATGGCAAGAAGTACATCTGTAACACAGTTAACTTACATACATGTATTTTTGTCTACAGATAACAGGGATTCTCACAGCTCATTGTCTTGAGAAAATGTATATCCTTACTACAGTCTGCATGACAAGAATGTAAAGCAATTGTAATGCAGCAGTCATTAAGAAATGAAATTCTTCCAGTAAAATGTTGCAGCTGTTTGTTCTCATTGCTAAAGTTTGAGGTTATGGAAGATCTTTTTTAAGATTTCATATGTTAGTGTTGTGTCTTTTGAATTTTGTTGATAAGCTCGTTGCATAAGTTGTCTAAACCAAAGTGATGTTAAGTTCACAAATTTTCTAGAACAAACAGCAATATTTAGTCTTTATTTGGTTTACCAGTAAATTTATTTTAATCCCATACTTGAGCAAATCCATCAAACACTGTAACTGCACCTGGAAAATAAATGTAAAAGATTTGTTTAAAAAAATTGTTGATTAATTACACAGTTCTGTAGTTCTTTCTCTGACATGTACTTTTAATACTTGGAAAGGGATATGGAGATATTCCCATATGTTATATTGTAATATTTATTCTTGTCAGCACTTAGCCTTCTTTATTACACATTAGTCAAGGTGGAACTGCAAGTGGAATTGTATTGTTGTATGTTTCATCTAACTCTAACCAATGCTTCAGTTATCAATATAAAGATACCTATGTATCTTCTGTACAGCCTGAAACATGTCAGGGCAATATAAAAAGCTCATGGCCAAATAATTTCACTATTCCCAAGAAAGTGCAAATACTTTATCTCTATCATTTTGATTAAAGATATGTTTCTATAACTAACACTAATGTTTCTGATTTTCAGGTCGCCTTGACAGGTGTGATGTTCCTACCCACAGATGATTCCTCACCCACCAAACAGGAACTCCTTGTTGCACGTATGTATATCCATTATAGAATAACAAAACAATTTAAACCTGTCTGGTCCAAACATGGCCAGCACCAGTAGTAACTTTCAGAAAACACAGGTTTCCAAGTTAAGGGCCGTTATACACTTGTTCATACAGTCATGTTTGATTCTGTAAACCACTGAAAGGTGAATACAATTTGTGTTTTACTTGATTTACTTTATTATGTCTGCCTAGGTGAAATTATTGCTTACATATGTAATTATGTGATAGACACAGTATGATTATCTAGTACAATGAACACAACTTTATATACATGTTCAAGTAATTATTAATCATATATTTTTTTAAATCTTGTTTTAGGTGATATTTTAGAAATTGGAGCACAGTGGGCTATCTGTAAACATGACATACCAGCTTTTGAAAGATACATGGCACAACTTAAATGTTATTACATGGATTACAAGTAAGTAATTACTATCTTTACATCTTAACGTCATTATGAACAAATGAAAATTGTTATTGTCATAATATTCCTTGCTATCCCTTCATATTTGCTGACAGGAACATAATCAACAAAAACACACAAAGCATACTGCACTACACTACACATTCTACTTAACATGATAATTTTCTCACATTTTATATCAAACATCACCTTAGTTGTTGTATTTATGGACAACTCTGGATTACAAATTATTTCGTAGCAAGTACATTTTCAACCAGTTCTAGTCCTAATTTAAGTGAAGTCCTTAGTTTAAGTGAGGTTTAAGTAAAGATGTCTCACTTTTTCTGGTCCTGGTTCAAATGAGGTCTTGGCATCTCCCACTTTTGTGGTCGTGGTTAAGATGAGGTCTTGACATCTCCCACTTTTCTGGTCCTTCGTTTGAATGAGGTCTAAACATGTCTCACTTTTTCAGGTCCTAGTTTAAATGAGGTCTAAACATGTCACACTTTTTCAGATCCTAGTTTAAATGAGGTCTAAACAATGAGTTTGAGCACTCAGTTATTTGAGTCGTGGGTTTATAATTTTGCTGTTATACTTACACAAATTTCAAGGCCTTATGTATCTCTTTGTATTGGGAATCATCTAAAATTTTGGAATTGGTGTTCTGTACTACAATCCTACAAAAATGAGAGGGTTTCAGCATGTTGCACTTTGTCTTGTCCAGGTTTTTAGTTAAATCAAAGTTTTGAATAAGTGATCTGTTAATCAAGGTTATAGTTATATGATGCAAAAGAGATTTTCTGTATGAGCGTGGCATTGGACTTGGTAGATCAAAGACTATATGTTTGTTTGATAAACTTAAATCGTGTATCAACAACAGTATGTATGATCGACTTAAAAGGTAGATAAATAACATATATATTTTATCCTGTAATTATTGAAAGTATTGCATACTTTTACCACATACCTGGAAATTTAGTCTTCTATTGCTACATCAAATTAAAAAGTATTAGAAGCAATCAGTTAGGTACTGATTTTAGGTATTAGTGACCATAATGAAGAGCCTATGAATTTGTGAAATAGATTGTTTGATCATGACAACACAAAATATGCCAACGTTCTTCATTACAGAGACAACCTGCCGGAGTCCACATATAAATACCAGTTACTGGGCCTCAACCTTCTATGTCTCCTTGCTCAGAATAGAGTGGCAGAATTCCACACTGTAAGTGACTGTTGTCAAATTTCTTTGTGTATGTATTTAAAAACATGATTATATGGTTTTGTAATAAGTGCTGTAGAATACCTTTAAAAAATGTATCTAATTGCAAGGAGGATAATTTTCTTTGTGACAAGTAAATGTGTGATTATTGATTATGAATTGACTGTTGTTTAAATTTAATGAACAGTTTGGATTTTATATGTACATGTGTATCAGTAATTATTGTTTTGTGTTATGTCCATATATCCTTCCATTCTTGTGCTATCTTGTCCGGGCTCTTTCGCCTATACTTCTTTTCACTGTAACTTCATACTTGGGATATGAGTTAACCTTTGTTGGGATGGTGTGTCTCTTATCAAAAGTTGGTCACTCTGACCTATGATTTCACCTTTGACCTACATCATAGAAAAAGTTTGTACAGGATCAATCTCCTACACTAGCACTGTAATTGTACACTTAGTTTATGGGTTCACCTTGGTGAGGGAAGTTGTTGGTGGGTGACTATGATTCAAAGAATTGCCATGTTGCTGTACCATTTGTGTTTGTGTCTTGGTTTAGGAGCTTGAGCTCTTACCTGTGAAAGAACTACAGAACAACATCTACATTAAACACCCAGTGTCAATGGAACAGTATCTGATGGAGGGATGTTACAACAAGGTAAGGATATATAGTTTTATAGTAAGTTATATCTAATACCACAGAGCAGTTTATAAATTATAAAGTTCCTGCATAAAGTCTGAATATAACATAATAACCTATTGATTTCAATAAAAGCAGCTGTATACAGTTTACCTGGTAGAGATAACAAAATGTCAGTAATCTACATCCATACTTTACAGACTTAACATTATCCAGTTATTGAATTCATTTTATTTTCCAGGTCTTTTTAGCAAAAGGAAATGTACCGGCAGAAAATTACACATTCTTCATAGATATTTTATTAAACACCATCAGGTAGGCAACAAAGTGTTAATTTGATTTGAAATATAGTTACACTTCTCTCTGAAATTTGTGTTGTGCTAAGTGTACAGATTATCTAACAATTTTTGATACAGATTTACTTCAAATGAACAAAGATCTGTACTGAATGTTATAAAATACAGTGATTAATGTCATGTTTTGAAAATTCTGATGCATCAGTTTAGTGTGATATGAAAATAAAAGAATGATGATAAAATGTCAAACTTTCTGTATTATTCATTGACCTGTGTATGCTCCTGGAAGCCTGTACAATGAGTGACCTTTGTTATATTTTCTGTCATTGTGTAGAAACGAGATAGCCAGTTGTATAGAAAAGGCCTATGAGAGGATAGCTCTGGGAGAAGCAGGAAGAATGCTATTTTTCGAGTCACAGAAGCCCATGAAGGAATATGCTGTCAAGGTTAGTTTACACTTTATTCCATACATTATGCCTATTATTACTTACTAAAAGCACTGTCAGGTTTATTCATATTTGACTTTGCTACATCTACATGATCTTGTAAAACAACCCATTAATGAAAAGAGATAAAAAATTATTTTTGGAAGGTTTTAAGTCATCGCAAAAAATTTGTCTCCAAAATCAGGAAAGATGGATAATTTTGTTTCCATTTAAAATATCTGTTAAAATTCTCGTATTGAGTGATTTCAACTGCCAGTTTTATACATGATTTAAAATGGTTACCAGGGTTTTCCATAAGAGGCGGCCACCGGCCAATTTGACCGGCTACCTTGATCATTTGGCCGCCTACACCAATCCAGTTCCGTAATAATGTTCCGTACACGACTACACGTACACGGCAGGCCAGCCTCCTACTTTCACTACACAGCCTACTACTAACAAAATTATGGAAAACCCTGGGTTACAGTATAACACAAAAACAATAGTGATTTAATAAAACAGATAACAGTAAAACCTCAGTTTTAATCTACCATTCACACCATAAATTTCTGTTAGCTTTAAATGAATTGATGAAGTGATGTTCTAATCTGTAATTTCATCATTTTTTCCCCCTTTTTTCAGAGAGGTTGGTCAGTGTCCTCAGACAATTTCTTCCACTTTGCTGTACATGAACAGAAAGACACAGATGAATCTATACCTGCCATGCAGCTTGCAGAACAGACAATAGAATATGCACGTGAACTAGAAATGATTGTGTAGTGAAAGTTCTAAAGTAGAAATAAAATGATTACATCTGTGTTCCACACAGTGGTTTGATGGCATATTAATTAGGTAGCACATCTGTGGTTTGGAGAAGTGTCCTGCAACACAACAGGGCCGACAACCCCTGCTTAACAATTGCCGTGGGAGTACTCTACAAAAAATGTTATAAGCAGCTGTTGCCATCTATTGTTACTTTGTAGTACAGTGTACCTGTGTTTCTGTCCATCTGATAGAAACACTATCTCACTAACATGGTGTGGTAGTCAAATACCACACAAAGATATTTAACTACTTTGAATTCTCCATCAAGTGTCTGGTAGTAGCATAAAAACATACTATTAACCAGTAGTATAAATGTGTTCATCAATGTGTGTGTGAGAGAGTGTGAGAGAAGAGGAGACAAACGTTCATTCTGGGTATATGCTTACAACTTGTACTAGACAGTTCATATTTTGTTGTATGGAGATGCAATCTACAGATACATGTACATGCGATGGAGATGTTTGATGAATAACTTGTGGATATTCAAAGTAAAGAATACATCAATGGAAATACTTAAAATGTTATATTTGGTGCATAATTTTCATCAGGTGCACATCTCTTTTTTTTTCAATAAAAAAAGCATTTCTTATATTGGTGTTTTTGTTCTGAATGTATGAATTGATGTTCACAAAATAGTTAATAAATAATGTGATTTTCACAAGTACTAGGTATGAAAAACATATTGAAGTACACATAAGTTTTCAGATTATATTGAATTATCTTGTCAACAATTAGTGAATGTTATTTAGGGCTGTAGAGGTGAATTACATATTTTTCATAATTTGTTTAGGTAAATTATTTAAATTGCGTTCTTTCAAAATGCCCCTGTCAAACTTTATTATTTCATAGAACTCCCATGATATTAGGCCCTTAAATATCGTGGTGTGTCTGTGTATTGTTGTGTGTGTGAGGGTGTGTGTGTGTACTCCGACCATGTGTGAGTGTGGCGTTGGCATGGGTGCGAGTGAAATATTTATGTTTTGAAAAATCGTCGAAAAATAAAAAAAAAAATTATGAATTTAAGAAAAAAAGAAAATGGAATGACAACCTGGTTACTTGATAAAGCACCCAACACAACAGAGAAAACTGATATAAATAAATATAGGATATTAAACAAGTTTTCATCCCGTGACCTTTATATTAAATGAGTGTTACCTGTTTTCATTTTTGCAAGTTTAGACCAGCAAAAATTTTAAATGTCCCGAGATAAATTTAATGAAACCTCATATGAAATTTAATTAAATTTAGGATACTTTTTATGACATAACTCGGAAAACATGACACAACATTGTACATATTATGACATCACAATTGATTTCTGACTTACACAGCAAAAGATAAAATTCTCCAGGTTATGTTACATTAGAGACGCACAAAAATACTGCTTGGGCGAATTTAGTGGATACCATTTGAATTATGTGATAAATATCTCACTAACACTGTGATATTCAAGGTTGCAGCTATTTACCATGGGGTATTTAAATATTACAGCCTTCCGGCCTTCCAGTGGAAGAAAAAAGATAGGAAAATGAGAAGAAAAATAGGAAGTGATGGGGAAAGGGGATATAGAGATGAGGTAGAGAGGGGATGTCTCTGATACCACACCTGATTTTAAACTAATTTATAAGACAATCCTTTGGCCTAATTGCAGACTAACCTAACACTAAGCAAGTCGTAGTAAGAGGACTGGTTAAGGATACAGAGGAAGGGGATCCTACGCAAGATAAATTTCGATATGTTGATAGTATTTTGGAAGTCTGTCAAATTAACTGAGTAAATAATCCTTATTGCTAATGTAACTCTAACCTCAGGGTCGGTGTTATCGCGCTTACTCTTTCTCGAATAAAAAAAAGGGATCTTTATTATGCGAGTTCTACATGGCCACCATCAGACAGACTGAGGACTGCAGCTCTGTGGTATGAATTATCTCCCTTGTACCGCTTGATCACAATGTCGTACAATTTTATTTTTCATGATTGATATTTACATGTAATATATAGGGGTAAATTAAGGATTTTGTTTCAGCATTTTGGAATGACCAGTGAATTTCTGTAAATATTTCCTGGGATACAGCAATGACTTTCAGGTGTTTCGTCTGCAGGGGACATACAAGATAGATTTAGTAGGGAGTGGGCGTGAATTTACCTGATTATGCTCATCATAACTCTTGTCTTATTGAAGGCTAGATAGTGAGAGTACCAGGTTAGTAATGACTGGATAGTGAAAGCACCAGGTTAGTGGTGACTGGATAGTGAAAGTACCAGGTTAGTGGTGACTGGATAGTGAGAATACTAGGTTAGTGTAGGGTGGATAGTGAGAGTACCAGGTTAGTGCAGGGTGGAAAGTGAAAGTACCAGATTTGTTGTGACTGTGCAGTGAAGTGTCCAGATTAGTGCTGGATGGATAGTGAGAGTACTAGCTTACAGGTGACAGTGTAGTTAGACATCCGGATTAGTGGTGACGTGATAGTATGAGTACAAATAAAGTGTTGACTGCAGTGAGAGGTTTAGATAAGTGCTGGGTGGATAGGGAGAGTACAAGATTAGTGTTGACTGTGCAGTGAGACGTTCAGATAAGTGCTGGGTGGATAGGGAGAGTACAAAATTAGTGTTGACTGTGCAGTGAGACATTCAGATAAGTGCTGGGTGGATAGTGGAGATGCTAGATTAGCGTACAAGATACTTTTTTAAACGTTACATTTATATTTAGGTAGGTATGTATAAGAGAATTAGGCAACCTAGAGGTCGATATCGATCAACTATTGATTTATAAATATGTGTTGGTTTTGTACTTTCAATTTAGGTCGGAATTGATTCCAAAAAGTAAATTGGATAATAATTTCAACACCTGTTTCATGATGGTCATAAGAAATTCGAGTTTCTTTCGAATTATGGAGAAAAAAGAGCTTCGTGTCGCTCCACGCAGGTAACGCGCGTTGTCTGACGATACTACTATATATAGATGACTAGTCACTTCTGTAATTAAAAATCATAACGATTTTGAACAACTTACGATGTGCTTTCCTGTTTTCAACAACGATTCAGATGATCGTATAAAGAACTAATCGAGTATGAAATTTACGTCACTTAAATACAAATGACAAAGGGAATTACAACAACCCGGAATTGGGTATCCTATATTTATTTCTGGCAAATTCCAACATTAGTGGTAGACGTTTTTATGGTTCTTCATTGTTACAGTTTAGAGACCCAGAGATACAGGAGCATGGATCCTGGTATCTGTCACTATGATACGTTTTAGTCGTAAACCGTTTACAAGTTGACATTTTCTACACATACATATATATTTTTTTATCCGTCTTAAAGTATGTTTCGTCAACATACCAGCACAGTATTTGAAAATGATGATTTGTTGTATTCTTATAAGTATAAGTGAATGATGGCAAAAACGAAGAGATCATTATTACACCCTAAACGTCTGTAAATTTTCAAAAGCTCAAACACATATAGTGTAATAACATAGTTAGACATCGATCAAAGTCCGTGGTGCAATATACCAAGAACGGGTACTAGCAATTGCTTGTATAAGCCAAATACCTTGACAGTATTCTATATTTAGATAATCGTGATATTTTTTTTGTAATGCGGGTGTTGATCATGACCAGTCATGTGAATCCATTTCGGAGAGAGTGGTATAGTAGATACGAACGTTACATGTCATACTTGTAAAACTAGGGATACTTAGTCTTTTCATAGTCATAGATATGATTCTTTTTATTCGGTTTGAAAATAATAGCCTACGACGTAAGCAACCTTGGCAGTCAGTGACACAAACACATATTTTGTCGCCCTCTGAGCAGTAAACACAGAAAACACGTGGTAGTGTGTTGACAATTGGTCATGTGACATAAAACTTTCACCCAATCAGCGCGGCGGGCTGAAGCCTTAGTAGTGACGTCACATCTAAACTCTGCGCCATCGCACTTCCGAGAGTGACAGAAAGTCACTTGAGAGTTAGTAGTTAGACGTGGATCCGAGTTTAGTCGGATTTCTTTGATTTTTGGCAGTTGATCTGGGATCTTTACAAATATGCCGGAAAGTGTCTCAAAGACATTTAAACAGAGAAAAAGCTTTGGTAAGTACTAGGTCTACAGTACGTACTGCTGTAAAGATAGACCTGTAAAGATATAATATTGCTCACGAACTTGCCAAAGGATTTGGTAAGCAATTATCCGAGGTCTACTCCTTGTGTAACATACCATGCGATTCACCTACGTTTGGATAAAGAAACTTTTTGGTAGATCTGCACAGTTTAGTGTAGTGTGGACATTTGTAAAATAGATTTTGAAGAATTAATAAAAAAGGAAAAATCGATGATAAATGTGCCTATATAGGCAAAGCTTAAAACAGATACTGAACGAGGTGTCGATACTTTGTAAAAAGAAATCCAACCTTTTTACGGAAACAATATGGTATATTATATATATGTACATAATGTCGCGTGACACAATTCGATTTTGTACTGAATTTTCATATACTGATATTGTAGTCCGTCACAATCTGTCAGCTGAACTGCTGTCACACATGTCGGAAGTAATGAGTTGATGTACTGATAGAGCGTATACTAGATCGATCTTACCTGTATCTTTTCAACAGTACTGTCCATCAGTTTAGTCTATACCAGTTACCTGTGACAGGTGTGAACCCGAGACAGATAAAAGACCAAGCATATACATGTGTTGTTTTTAATGAATAATTAGTCACTAGTGACTACAATTCATCCAACCAAAGAGAAAAAAATATGGTCTGTGTTATAGTTCTCCATATGTATCAAGAGCAGGTATACTTTAAAACTCTTTAAAAATTCTAATTTAGCTGTTTACATTTTTAGGCATGTTTCTCTTTGTCATGGATGGTTTCAGAAAGGTGTTGAATTTTAATTCTTTCAAGCCATATCAACTGACTTCATTCCTGAGTACACAGGTACTAAACTCCAACATAGCTCCCCAGTATATAAAGTTACATAGGTTATCTATCATAGACAGGTAGTAATCTGGCAAGTTGGCGGGTCTATCATTGATATTCTGGAGGTAAATCCTTGGGCTGAAGCAGAAGTAAATATCTTATTTCAATTTCAAAATATTTTATTGTCAATACATATACAATACAATAATTGAATTTACAAAAGAAAGTACAATATACATGTATTAACAAAAGGAATTGGACAACAGGCTTATAGCCTATATAAGTCTTTTCCTACAAAAATATCTTTAGACTGTTAGATGATTATAAGCTTATGATGGTGGTCGGGTGGCGCAGTGGTAACACACTCGCTTTTCACCTAGCCGACTGGGGTTGGATTCCCGGAACGGACGTGAAAAGGTAAGGGGTCACCTGCCCGACCACATGGGTTTTCCCCGGGTACTCCGGTTTCCTCCCACAATAAGACCCCTCGCGCGAGTGATTAGTACAAGTTGACATAACTTGTTTCGCAATTGTTCAAAAATAAATAAAGTTTATATTTATGTAATACATTGATTTTTATATTATGATGAAGGTTTTGGCAGGTTAGATACATGAAACACATAAAATGTACATTGGTATACTATGGCAAAGCTACAGAAAAACTGGTCAACTAATGTTACACATTGACAATTTTCCTGAGAATTTACGGTAATTTTCATGAGAATTTACAGTAACAACCCTATCATCCAACTGCAGTCCATGCAGGTACTTGAACCTCACAATGCTCTTGAATATATAAAGTTATATACATTATCAGACCCTGACAGACAGGGAAATAAAGCCAGGCAAGTACAGTACATGATGGCAAAACAATCAGGTATGGTGCAGAATACATGCTGGTTTACTTCTTATGCTAAACGACAAGTAGTTATAATGGACAGGTAGTAGTCTGAGGTAGCACTAGGCAGTGGTCATTGACAGGTAGTATTAGGCAGACTGGTGTCCTAGATAGGTAGTAGTTACAATAGTCTGAGACAGGCTGTTGTCATAGACAGGTAGTAGTCTGAGACAGGCTGTTGTCATAGATGGGTAGTAGTGTGAGACATGCTGTTGTCATAGACAGGTAGTCATGTGAAACAGGCTGTTGTCATAGAGAGTTACTTGTAGAAGTATGAAACAGGAAGATGTCATAAACAGAAATTGGAGACATTTGTCAGAGACAGACAGAAGTTTGAGGCAAGCAATCATTATAGACAGTTTGTAGTCTGAAGTGGGCAGTTTGTTATAGATAGCAAGTATGAATTCTGAGGCGAACAGTTGTTTGTAAAATCAGATAGGTAGTAGTATGAGGCAGACAGTTATTTGTAAAACTGACTGGTAACAGTCCTGGGTATTTGTCAGAGATGGGTAGTTGTTGCGGACATGATGTATCTTATATGCAGTTAGATTTCATCTCAGGTTTTATAACAGACAATGTAAATAGTTAACTCTGTGTATTCTTATGTTACAGCTGTTAGGAAAGATGAAGTGGCGGGAATCAGGTCCAAGTTTCCAACTAAAGTTCCAGTAAGTAATTCATGGTTGAGGAGTGCATATATCTTCATATGCAGAAACTCCTAACAGTTGCCTATACTACATGTGATTCTTCAAATTGTTTCTATAGCAGGTATATCTTATACATTGTATCAACACATTTCCTGCACTCTTGTCGTATATACTAAGTAATTGTTGTAAATTAGGATACATGACTTGTGATTTGAAATTTATAAGCATGCAAAACTGTGGTGTTTGAATTAAGGTACAGAGAGAAATTTCAGGCATTGTCACATTAGTCAACAAGATCTGACATTTTGGGTAATAGTTATGAAACAGTGCAAATGTTGAACACCGTGACACACTCATCCACTATAAATGTCATTGTAAGAGGAGGCAGTAATATACCTACATTATAAGCTTGTTATTCTACACTATCCAGGCATCAGTATGTATTTCTAATTCACTGAATTTCATTAAAACAAACAGATGGTGGTGACACATTTAATATGTGCATGTATATTATTTTTCCTTGTACTAATGTAGATAAATACTGGTAACATCAGCTCTATTGCTATATGTTATGCTGTGATCAGATACTGGCTTTCCTGTGTTAATATGTATGTAAAAGATCATTCTAATTACCTTGTTGGCAAGAACAGCAACAAATTCAGATCTAAACAATTGAAACACACAAAAGACATTGACAGAAATTAAACTTCATGATTTACAAGTTTACAAAATACAGTGTTTTATTACTTATGTACCAGTGCAAGCACATAAAGATAAATCTCAAAATTCAATCACAACACTTGCTCTAGGTTCATAATGAATTTGTAATATAATTACCAGAACAATATCAAGGTCTAAAAGCTAGCTATATTTAGTCCAACACTTAACTTACAGTAGTTAAGGATATTAGAGTTCTGGTTGTAAACATAGAAAATTTAACAATAGTCTCACATGACAGTGTGTGTAATCCTAGAGCTGATGTCATAATACACACTTTTTGACCCAAACAATTGTATTCTATGACATCATATCAATAATATTATTCTAATCAAGATGAGATTTTGAAACCAGGTCAAGTTGTTTTTCTTTAAAGAAACCAGATATCTTTATACCTATCTCTGTTCAATGTTTAAATAATTGATTCCATAGAATGGTTTACTTATACTGTAAGTAAATTCTGTAGAAAGTGAATTCAGTAGTATAGGTACTATAAATAGACCCGTTGGGGTTCATATAATCATATTGCATTGTTACATCCTCTGTTTACAGGTGATTGTGGAAAGATACCATAAGGAAAACCAGCTCCCTCTACTGGACAAAACCAAGTTCTTGGTTCCACAAGAGCTCACCATGTCACAGTTCGCCACAATCATCAGGTATACTATGATAAGTTTCTGAGAGAATGAATCTGTTATCAATACACTTAAGCTATATTCTTATAGCACATACTGTGGATTTGTTTTTATTTATTGTTTTCACCAACAAGTGCACATTTTAATTTTAAGTTGTTGCATAAAGTAAACTTCCTATTATAAAAGCAACATTGAGTCTCATCCACAAATGACTTGTGTCTTGTGTTGATTGATAAACTCACTGATGTATGTTTATAGTAAGAGTGTAATTCTAATTGTTTTATTTCAAAGCTATAATAACTACAATAACAATGTTCGGCTATACAGCAGATTTGAGTATTACTGTGTTTTACCGCATCTTATTTGTAATGATTATACTGAAGTTAAGGATAGAACAGAGGTGTTGGTAGCGGAGACATAATTATAACATGATAATTAAAAGTACCTTTGTCAAATATGTACATGACCCATTAAGTTTACATATCAAAATGAGTTGTGACAGTTTATTTATTATCATATTTAAAAGAAAATGAATTCAGTGAAAAAAATGTACATCAAACAAAATCAGCTTGTTGATAAATACAATCTGTATTTTATACCTACATGAAAAAGTGATATTCATTTCTTAATCTTTAAATCCAGGAATAGGATGTCACTAAATGCTAACCAAGCGTTTTACCTGATTGTGAACAACAAGAGTATATCAAGCATGTCTATGACTCTGGCAGAGGTTTATCGGGATGACAAGGACGAGGATGGATTTTTATACATGACATATGCATCACAAGAAATGTTTGGTTGATATTTCACTTTAACTGACATGTATCTCATTATGTCACTGAATGGAAGGATAAAGTAATAAATTATCAGTACCATTGGTGACACAACACAGACCTCCTGGTGATTAACAGCAATGAGCCGTGACTGCAGGAAATGTATTGATATAACAAGCCAACTGAACCGTGAACTGATTGTGTATAAGACTTACCGAGTGTGAAAGTGGAAGGTATTTTATGTAAGGAATACTTAGAAATATAAAGTGAAGGGTTGTTTGTGTGATTAGTGGATGATGAACTTTGACCAGTATCGATAGTTAAGAAATCCCCCCCTTTACCAAACAGTAAAAAAGGGAAAAGTGTTGTCATGCTTCAGTTGTAATTTGGTAAGTAGATAATAGTAAGAGGCAGACATCTTCATTTTACTGAATATCTTTTACAAAGTTTATATAGATACAGTATTTTAAACTCACAAAATGTGCAAAGATCACATACATTTAGAGACGGCCATAAGCATTTCAGACTAAACAATGCATGTCAAAAATTCACCCAAAATATCAAAACTGGACAATTGCTGGTGTTGTAATATGTGATGTTATATCTTATCTGTATTGGGAAGGAAATAGTTTAAATGGGAAAATAACATCATTTAAATGGTAATTAAATTTCCAACACCAACCACTGTTTGATGGTTGCTGCAAGTGAATATATGAGGGAGGGATATTATTAAAGATGTGTGTATTGTCTCTATCATTGTTCATGGTCTTCAGTTAAGAGAAAGAATGTGTGATGAGTATGGATGCTTAGGTGTTCAACTGATATTAGTAATTGTATCACTGATGTCTATATATCAGTTCTAATTCTTAAATCTTTGTATTTCATGCTGTTGTATGAGCAAAAACCATGTTTCAAAGGATGATTTCAACTGTTTTTTGTGTGAACTGAACCAGACTCGTCCTATATTTGTGTGAACCAAACAATACTTTAAAATTTGGTGTTTTTGTAAATTGAAAGTCCAATTAACAATAATTGTTGTAAACCGGATGTGGAATAAGACCTTGATCCATTGTCTAAGTGGCTGTCACTATATCTTATTGTGGGGGTCAGTATATAGGGCAGTGAGAGAACTGTGATAGTATACTTAATAATAGTTAGTGATGGTAAGTTCTGCTGGTCATTTTTGATGGTCAGTTAGAAGTGATTTAATAATAAGTAGAAGTATGTCAGTGTGCTGAGTGTGATGAAGTGGTTAATTCTGACCAGTTACTGGTCACTTAGAGGACTTGTCATCTGCTGGTGAATTGTAGTGCTGATATTGTGATAGTTATATACATAATTTGTTTTGAGTGTGATCACACGTAATCTGTGATCATTGAGTCACAATGATACTATTATGTTTGTGTTGATAATACTCTTATCGACTTTGTGTATTTATTTGTCATGAGGTGAGATCTTTCTGTACAGTGTATTATATACTGTAAAAACATACATCACTGTTGCCAACTTTGTTTCTGTAGAGGATTATATGTCTTTATATACATCTATATATGCATCTATATATATATAAATTGTTCTTCCATAGATCATTACCTCGCATCATTTTGTATATTTATCACGAACATTCACATTCATCAAAATTAAAGCTAATCCGACATTCTTGTCTTAATCTATGTTGAAACTTTACAGCTTATCATCTTTGTCACATTTAAATTTTGTGTCCTTGAATTTGTTTTTGGGATTGTTCAATGTAAAACAATTTTCTAAGGCTGCCATAACAGTTGTTGTAACTTACTTAAAACTAATAATTTCCAAACATTTGTGTGCTAAATTTATCTATAAAAACGCTGCAAATGAAGTGTTATTTCTACTGCAAAGGTCATACACAGGATTGCAGTCTTACTGAACTCCTTTGTCATTTGGAATGGTCTTTTAGATCAAGGTTCTTTTATCACAGGCCAGGAGGGATGTAGAATTGTAATGTAAGTGCTAAACATGAAGTTACTAGATCTCACATTCTATATTCTTACTCTGTATCTGTTCTAGAAACATCGGATGTCCTTCCTTATTCTGTATCTGTTCTAGAAACATCAGATGTCCTTTCTTACTCTGTATCTGTTCTAGAAACTTCAGATGTCCTTCCTTACTCTGTATCTGTTCTAGAAACATCGCATGTCCTTCCTTACTCTGTATCTGTTCTAGAAACATCAGATGTCCTTTCTTACTCTGTATCTGTTCTAGAAACTTCAGATGTCCTTCCTTACTCTGTATCTGTTCTAAAGACATCGCATGTCCTTCCTTACTCTGTATCTGTTCTAGAAACATCGCATGTCCTTCCTTACTCTGTATCTGTTCTAGACACAACAGATGTCCTTCCTTACTCTGAATCTGTTCTAGAAACATCAGATGTCCTTCCTTACTCTGTATCTGTTCTAGACACAACGGATGTCCTTCCTTACTCTGAATCTGTTCTAGAAACTTCAGATGTCCTTCCTTACTCTGTATCTGTTCTAGAGACATTGCATGTCCTTCCTTACTCTGTATCTGTTCTAGAGACATCAGATGTCCTTCCTTACTCTGTATCTGTTCTAGAGACATTGCATGTCCTTCCTTACTCTGTATCTGTTCTAGACACAACGGATGTCCTTCCTTACTCTGAATCTGTTCTAGAAACTTCAGATGTCCTTCCTTACTCTGTATCTGTTCTAGAGACATTGCATGTCCTTCCTTACTCTGTATCTGTTCTAGAGACATCAGATGTCCTTCCTTACTCTGTATCTGTTCTAGAAACATCAGATGTCCTTCCTTACTCTGTATCTGTTCTAGTCACAACAGATGCCTTTCCTTACTCTGAATCTGTTCTAGAAACATCAGATGTCCTTCCTTACTCTGTATCTCTGCTAGAAACATCGGATGTCCTTCCTTACTCTGTATCTGTTCTAGACACAACGGATGTCCTTCCTTACTCTGAATCTGTTCTAGAAACTTCAGATGTCCTTCCTTACTCTGTATCTGTTCTAGAGACATTGCATGTCCTTCCTTACTCTGTATCTGTTCTAGAGACATCGGATGTCCTTCCTTACTCTGTATCTGTTCTAGAGACATCGGATGTCCTTCCTTACTCTGTATCTGTTCTAGAGACATCGGATGTCCTTCCTTACTCTGTATCTGTTCTAGAGACATTGGATGTCCTTCCTTACTCTGTATCTGTTCTAGAAACATCAGACGTCCTTCCTTACTCTGTACCTGTTCTAGAAACATCAGATGTTTTTCCTTACTCTGTATCTGTGCTAGAAACATCAGCTGTCCTTCCTTACTCTGTATCTGTTCTAGAGACATCGCATGTCCTTCCTTACTCTGTATCTGTTCTAGAGACATCGGATGTCCTTCCTTACTCTGAATCTGTTTTAGAGACATCGGATGTCCTTCCTTACTCTGAATCTGTTCTAGAGACATCGGACGTCCTTCCTTACTCTGTATCTGTTCTAGAGACATCAGATGTCATTCCTTACTCTGTATCTGTTCTAGAGACATCGGATGTCCTTCCTTACTCTGTATCTTCTTGAAACATCAGATGTTCTTCCTTACTCTGTATCTGTTCTAGAAATATTGGATGTCCTTCCTTACTCTGTATCTGTTCTAGAGACATCGGATGTCCTTCCTTACTCTGTATCTGTTCTAGAAACATCAGATGTCCTTCCTTACTCTGTATCTGTTCTAGAGACATCAGATAGATCTGATGAATTCCATTATCATTGGTTTTTGTTTCAGACAATGGATCTTTTTTTTGTAAATTAAATCAAACAAATCAACAAATTGAAATTTCCCAGGTACATGTATATCTGTTATATGTTAATCATAATTGGTATGTTATCATTTGTACAGAAAATCATTCTTTATCTAAACTATAACTTACATATACTATTATATATTAGTGCAATAACAACGTTTTACATATTTCTGGGATTTTGTATGCTGTTTATTGGGATGAGTAATGTGATACTGCTTTCTACTGCTAAAGTTGTAGGACACGTGAATGAGTTAGCTGTTCTACTGCTGGCTGTACTGGTGAAATATGCATGTGTACCAAGCATGCCATGTCTTGCTCATGTATTCTTACATGTGACTGATATTTTAGATGGTCAATGTTACAAAATGTAAAGTATATTTAGATTATATGCCACATAGAAGGCCTGGTTCATGTACAACTGGATATTTTGATTTCTCTCTAAATTATTTGGACAGCCTTATAATGATTACTGTCTGGTAATGATTTTCGGGACATGATGAAAGTTTGTAAAGATATTGATACTGTTCTGTTAATAAATACTACGTGATGGGAAATTAAAAAAAAAATCCAATTAGGTTAACTTTATAGGTAAAACTCCATCAGGATGTTCACAGATCTATTTTCGTTATTGACTCAACTTAGAACATGGTGATTGTAGTGTATATAGCCTGATTAATTATCATTGTAAACAGGTGAAAGTATGTATTTTGTTTCTGTCTTTCATCTGTCTTTATGTTTTAATACTAGCCAAGAGCTGAACAAAAAAGTGCTGTCGTGTTCATCAACTTTGTGAGAGATGTGAGAGTGTATACCAGTCATTATATATCAGTAGTCATCTATACATGGCTGTCTTCTATACTACTGTCATACATTTTTTGGTATGATTAAAATGTATTTTTGTAAAGCGAGTCCACATTGTTTGTCCTAGCTTCACACACAGATCTAGATAGATATTCTGCTACTAACTTTTACCTGCCCTATCTTTGAAGCTTGCACGTTAGTCATCTCAAGCAATTTAAGTCGAAACTGTGTATAAACTTGCATAATATATGAATGAGAATTTTCATAAATTCCTTTCGATAGGTCACACGCACCGCTGAATGTACGCTGTTAAAACAGGAAATGCCCACTTGAATCCTAGATCTACTCTTTATTATCACAACTGATGACATGGGAACATGATATACTTGTTAATTGTCATTGGTTGGATTTCTTTATTTTTTAACTGGTTTAACTCTATCCATATCCGGCTCAGAGTATTCAGCGAAAACAAATTGTAGACAGGACTTTAATATCCAAATATTTCCAGTGATTGTTAGATTTGAAGGAGTTTAATGTATCAACACACACAATTTCCTCTGTTAAATCAATTCAGTTAATTTATGTGAAAAGCCGGGTTTCCTCAACATCAGTGCAGCATATTTTTTTATCTGAAGCTTTTTACTATGTTCCGCGGGTATTATTTGACGGAAGCGAAGTTCACCCTCATCGCAATGTAATTCAAAATGCGAGAAACGTACACAACATTTGCTCACAAGCGTCAGGAGAGGCTGTACGAGAGACGTGTAAAGACTGATATAAAGTACAATTGATGGTCCCCAGTACCGTCCGTTTTGCTTTTTGGCAGATCTCTGTATATGCTAATTTGAGTTTGCTGTTAATTCTGAACTATTTTCCTCTACATTTATGCTTTCCATTGAAAGTGTAGGGGTCTGGATCTGAATTGCCAAGATGTAGGTGCTAATATTGGTGGAATTGAATCGGAGTCGCCAATCTATTGACCATTTGTGAAGAGTGTCAGTATTTTGTTAGAGAGTATTTTGTTCCATGGGGGAGTTAACTACTGCTCAACCTTCATCAGCAAAATTATAGACTATACTTCTGACAACACATGGTAGGCCGCTGACGCCCTGAGGCATTCCACTTCTGTCCTTTCAGATGAGCTACTAATGATAGTTATTCTCTGTTTTCTGTTGGTTATGAAATTTGTCACATGCATGGCCTTTGCGGAAACTGTGTTGTGTATAGTTAAGTTGTTCCGTTTCTTGTGGTCCATTAATTCACCCCTTTCAAATTTCTCAACGAATTCTGAAATTGCAGCTTATTAGCCTATAGTTTTCTGCCAGAACTTTAGAAACCTTCTTGTGAAGAGCAGTCACATCAGACTCCTTAATTTAGCGATTTGTGAAAGATTTCTGTAAGTGGATCCTTATTTTATCGATTTGTGAAAGATTTCCGTGAGTGGATCCTTAATTTAGCGATTTGTGAAAGATTTCCGTGAGTGGATCCTTAATTTAGCGATTTGTGAAAGATTTCCGTGCTTGGGTGTACTTAAGATTATCAAATTTTACTTTTAAAGTTTTAAAATTATGTTCGATGTAAATTTTTAAATTATGTTACGCTTGAATGATCAGCACACGCTGGAATATCTCGGAATGATATGGCGAGACACTTTGGGGTGCACATTAATGCTTTGTGGACTCGTTGTCATCCGACGAATAGGATGTCCCCCGTGTGACGTTACGTCAACAAGATGCATATAGAAGCATACTTGAATCTGGCCGGATCAGTTCAAGGACCGTACGAATTTAAGCGAAATTAAGAGAAGCTGACATCCGCCCGCGGTGTCCCTCTATCCGTCCAGCTTTGCTTCAACGTCACAGAGCTGCACGTTAAGCTTGGTATAGGAGACATCTGTGATTCATCAATAAGGACTAGTCAAAGTGATTTCTACAGGTTTGTGCAGATTTCACATTGACAACAGTGAACTTACTCTATCATGTGAGTAATTCAGCGTTGTCAGTTTGACGAAGAGAACATTATGGTCTGGGTTGACATTGCAACGCAGGGATGGACCCCCCTTTAGTTATAGAATTGTCAACTTGACTGGTTTGTGCTACCGTGACGAAATTATACATCGTCACGTTCTTCCTGTGTTGTCGGACATATCCACAGCAGCGGCATGTCACCTTGCTACCTTGGCCAGCTGTGTTACCAGATTTGTCGCCAAACGAAATTGTTTGGGATAAATAGATCGGCATCAGGAACCAAACTCTCTCTTAGTCGTACATTGGCAAGCATACAGCAGAACATTCCACAAGCATGTCAGTATAGTTTGATCAGCTCCATGCTTCATTATCTGTAACTAAACTTTCTATCCCGATTGACTGATTCCTGTGTCATTACAAAGATAAAGGGAGACTTGATATAAAACTTAACATATTTTTGCGTATAAATTTTGAAATTAAAAGGTCAAAATACAGTGCCCTTTTACCAGAAATTCACAAACAATCTCTAAGCATGACTGATAAATATCTGTAAATAAAGGTATTGCTAGATAGACTGTATTTCTAAAACAATGATCGGTACATGTATTGGTGAAATAATTCAAAATTTTCACAGATGGCTCATCATTGGGGCGATGAAAATGTATTTCAGATGGTCGACGCTTGTCCGAAGAACCAACAGCGGTAGAAGAGAAGACAAGTAGACACTCTATAGAAACCGTCATAAGTGACTAGTTAAGAGAACCAAAACCATGAAGACGGTAAACAGTTTCAAGGATCCATGACAAGAATAAATAATCGCAACTATTAATTAAAGAAAGAACACGATAGAACTGGTGAACGCCAACTTACGGCTTGTTTGATACACGAGGAGACTAATTCAAATAATCTTGACCAACGGAAAAAGTTCTACTTGAGAAAACAACTGAACTTAAGATCAAAAGTTAAAAAACTAAAATCGATATTGTTTTCAGGTGTTATAACGTTACTGATGTAATTCTAAAGTCGGGAGATTCTGATGAAAATCTCCCAATTTGAGCAATGTTTTAAAAAGATGAAGGTCCCATCGCCAAGTTGGACCGCTCACACAGGGATTTGTTCGTCAATGAATATCGTCAAAACACCGACTGCCACACCCTGATAACAAATGTTCCACAGTCCTCTGACGCCACGGTACATAAAGGTCAAAGACAAGGTCATCGTCGCATCTTTCGTTCATTTCAGGAAAACGTCTTGTGTGACAATTAAACAGATAACGAGGCGTGGATAGCATGTACACAGAAGCCCTACACATCATTGCGGAAGGTCAACCACAAAGGCAAGATCTCACCAATATTGCCGATCCGACTTCATGGGTATCTGCCAATCACTTACCAGCAACAACTTGTGGATCTGTAACCCAAGGTTAAAAACCAATGACGCTCCCTAACGCCTCTGTGTTATCAAAAAAGAAAGAGTGGTATTGTGCACCCAGAACAGGGTTAAAGAGTTCCGGTTAAGGGGGAAAACCTGTTAGAATTAACCAAGGAGGAACCAATATTAGACCAGGCGGGAATCGTGAAGAGTCTTGTTCGTATCAAACAGTGTGGAATGACAGGAGATTCCGCCGTGTGTATCATGGACGACGACACTGTCATATTGACGTATGAGTTGAGTTCCTGTCCGACTCTCGAGAGGTAGAACGTCGCTGGTTTGTTGATATTATTGATATATACGTTGCACTAAATACAATCATATCTTCTTCCGGTTGTGTAGCCAAAGTAAGGATAAGACTCTGCAAGTTACTCTGTTGAGAGTTTTCTTTGTGATACTGTACCCCTGTTATCTCTGTGGAAGCCATCTTTTCTGTTTGTTGTTTCTGGTCCATGTGGACAGACTGAGAAGCTGTTTCTGGTCCATGTAGACAGATTGAGAAGTTGTTACTGGTCCATGTAGACAGATTGAGAAGTTGTTACTGGTCCATGTAGACAGATTGAGAAGTTGTTACTGGTCCATGTAGACAGATTGAGAAGTTGTTACTGGTCCACGTAGACAGATTGAGAAGTTGTTTCTGGTCCACGTAGACAGATTGAGAAGTTGTTTCTGGTCCATGTAGACAGATTGAGAAGTTGTTACTGGTCCATGTAGACAGATTGAGAAGTTGTTTCTGGTCCATGTAGACAGATTGAGAAGTTGTTTCTGGTCCATGTAGACAGATTGAGAAGTTGTTTCTGGTCCATGTAGACAGATTGAGAAGTGGAAATAAATTTGTCATAAAAAAGGGATTCTTCCTTTTGTTTTGCGATCGGTTTTAATGATAAAATGAAATGAAAAAAGTATGGAATATTGTGTTAATTTATCAATCTAATTACGAAATATTTGTTCTCCGATCAAATTGATACACCAGGTATCCAAATAAACCTGAAATGACCTAGCTTTATCAGGTCAGTGCGTTTCCTCTGATGAAACCTATATGGTGTATACTGCTTACCATATACATTTTCTACAAGTATACTTTACGATTTGTTACCCGTGGAACAGGTACTGTTCTGAAACGTCATTGTTCATTGTCCTTAAGTTCTGCGAACTTTGTTTAGGAAGACACCGACCTTTATTCCGGGTATGACCGGTAATCTGGGTTGTTTACCTGAGGTCGAGTTCACGGTCAACGATCTAGACATCAGCATGAATACCGGCTCAGTAAATAAGCCACGTACTATATATTATGATTCATACCACGATATCACTTTAAAGGACATTTTATTTAGAATTACTAAATAATCATAAGTAAACATATATGACACGTGTTACGAATACGGACGTTAGTATAAAACGAACCGAAAGCTAAACAGACATTGTTAAATCACAAAGATCTATTCAAATCTAACACGAACGTAATATACCTGGTATTAGTATTTTTTGTCTTATACAAACTTTATGCCTTTTGTATACGATTCTTTATAGACAGGTATGGAAATAGTATCAAACATAAAGTCGAAATTTTGTTAAAAACCCAAATAATTACAACTTATGAAAATGTTCCCTTTGGCATTTCATAAGAAATGTTTCGTTCGTTTAGTTCTAAGGAGTGAACACGTCAAAGAATAACTGTATTGTCAATACGTATCTATACTGAATATATGGAATGGAAACATGTTTGTTGATTTATCTTAATGTGGTTACTTTTCGCTATACTGTCAGTGTCTGTGTGAGTGTTACGTATTATACGTATTATACTGTCAGTGTTTGTGTTACGTATTATATCAGTGTCTGTGTCAGTGTTGTATACTGTCTGTGTCAGTGCTATCATACTGTCAGTGTTACGTATTATACTGTCAGTGTTTGTGTTACGTATTATACTGTCAGTGTCTGTGTCAGTGTTACGTATTATACTGTCTGTGTCAGTGCTACGTATTATACTGTCAGTGTTAGTGTAACGTATTATACTGTCAGTGTCTGTGTCAGTGTTACGTATTATACTATCAGTGTTACGTATTATACTGTCAGTGTCTGTGTTACGTATTATACTGTCAGTGTCTGTGTCAGTGCTACGTATTATACTGTCAGTGTGTGTGTCAGTGTTACGTATTAAACTGTCAGTATCTGTGTCAGTGTTACGTATTATACTGTCTGTGTCTGTGTTACGTATTATACTGTCTGTGTCAGTGTTACGTATTATACTGTCAGTGTCTATGTTACGTATTATACTGTCAGTGTCTGTGTGAGTGTTACGTATTATACTGTCAGTGTCTGTGTTAGTGTAACGTATTATACTGTCAGTGTCTGTGTGAGTGTTACGTATTATACTGTCAGTGTCTGTGTCAGTGTTACGTATTATACTGTCATTGTCAGTGTTACGTATTATACTGTCAGTGTCTGTGTTACGTATTATACTGTCAGTGTCTGTGTTACGTATTATACTGTCAGTGTCTGTGTGAGTGTTACGTATTATACTGTCAGTGTCTGTGTGAGTGTTACGTATTATACTGTCAGTGTCAGTGTTACGTATTATACTGTCAGTGTCTGTGTTGCGTATTATACTGTCAGTGTCTGTGTTGCGTATTATACTGTCAGTGTCTGTGAGTGTTACGTATTATACTGTCAGTGTCTGTGTGAGTGTTACGTATTATACTGTCAGTGTCAGTGTTACTTATTATACTGTCAGTGTCTGTGTGAGTGTTACGTATTATACTGTCAGTGTCTGTGTTAGTGTAACGTATTATACTGTCAGTGTCTGTGTCAGTGTTACGTATTATACTGTCAGTGTTTTTGTCAGTGTTACGTATTATACTGTCAGTGTCTGTGTTACGTATTATACTGTCAGTGTCTGTGTGAGCGTTACGTATTATACTGCCAGTGTCAGTGTTACTTATTATACTGTCAGTGTCTGTGTGAGTGTTACGTATTATACTGTCAGTGTCTGTGTTAGTGTAACGTATTATACTGTCAGTGTCTGTGTCAGTGTTACGTATTATACTGTCAGTGTTTTTGTCAGTGTAACGTATTATACTATCAGTGTCTGTGTCAGTGTTACGTATTATACTGTCAGTGTCTGTGTTACGTATTATACTGTCAGTGTCTGTGTTACGTATTATACTGTCAGTGTCTGTGTTACGTATTATACTGACAGTGTCTGTATGAGTGTTACGTATTATACTGTCAGTGTCTGTGTGAGTGTTACGTATTATACTGTCTGTGTCTGTGTGAGTGTTACGTACTATACTGTCAGTGTCTGTGTCAGTGTTACGTATCATGCTGTCAGTGTCGCTGGAAATGTTACGTTCGGCCTTATACATCTCGAATCATTCTCTGTTATACTCCAGAGTCTGCATGTGTCTGGGTTGTCTTTATATGGATGTTTACTGTTAACTGGATGCATTGTCTACTGCTGCGTGTTTCCAAGATTGTTTCGTCAGTTTAAGAGATGACCATGTAATATTATACTCCAGTGTTTGGTCATAAGGCCTTGGACGGACGGTCAGACAGTGAACACTTTATTCAAATATGAAACGATTCATTCTAGCAGTTACAAGGTTCAAGTCCAATGTCAAGATCAAGGCCATCCATCACCACGGGTTAGTCCCAGCCGTGATTTAACTAACATGAGTTTGGAGGATTTCGCAGTCTTGCTGTGGTTGATTACTAGTGTAATGACATGGCTGTGAAGGATTGTTAACGTATCAGTGACAGTCAGCTTGTATTTAATGGGTTACTTTACTGTTACTGCCAGTCTGACGATAGCTGGGTTATCATTACAATTACAAAGCGATAATGTAGTATATTTATCACACAGTACGTCCCTGCTCAAATAAAACATGTGTTTACATAAAAGTCATGACGTAGTTAGCTATGTATGTAACACTGCTCTTTTCGCGTTATTAAGAGAGAAACAGGAAATTGTAAAAAAACAATAAAAAAAACCCAACAGAATTCGTGTCTAAAATTACTTAACTGCCGCAAACGCAGTATGTATCGTTTTATGGTTTCTCGGTTGACGTGCTTCACGTCCGCTTTTACCGGTATTATACCTGTAACAAAAGTTCTGCATGTGTGACCTTCACCTTTGTGTAGGTGGGCGGAACCGATCAGCTGTTACAACTCAGACGTCAATTTCATATCTCTGACGACAGCATTAACGATTTATACACTTATGGCACATTATATGAAATGAGGTGGACTACTTCTTTGAATAAAATTTAAATCTACCGAGGGATTTATACAGAAATACTATAACTAACTTTGGCCTACCCAGAAAATATACATACAATTTAAATATAAATAAAAAAAAAAAAAAATAAAATAAAGTCTCTGATTTACAAAGTTGAACATATTGGAAGAAAAAACATGTTTCTGACGAAGTTTTTTTTTGATATTATGGTGATCACCATGGTTAATAATCTACAGAACAGTTTCGCTTTCGTACATGTTTTTTTACACACTTTTGTATAACTTATACACAGCTGTACTTGCATCAAAATTTGTTACCGAGGTTGGTTCAGTGATGTATACGTGTCTAGTTTCTAACGTACTTCACACGTCGGAGACTACACATGATTGCGTGAATTCTCAGTAAACAGGCCTGATCTTGTGGCGGGGGAGAATATTTGAGAACATTTTTTCTATTGTCAGGGATTTGATGTATAACAATGGAGAAGTGATATACATATGACGTACATTCATCTTATTGTGTATCTCAAGATCAACATGGTATTATTTGACACACCTCATCATAAACATGTACGTAAACAGAATGTGAACATTAATTAGCTGTCATCCTTATTACGTGATTAACAGAACAGTAATTATATCTAGACGTAGCATAAGGGAGACCACTCCCACATCTCATAACTAATGAAAACTGCAGTTTGTCTATTTGTAAACTTTATTCATCATATATTCAAATGATACAATTGATATCCCTTGTCATTGATATAAGATATATACTTCCTGTTGGATTCTCACTGACAGTCCAAAATCTACAAAAATCACATGTAACACACATAACTAGGTTTAAGGCATCAGTTTTCAGCATAATTCTAGACGCCTACCCTACAAAAGGACGGAACAGACTACTTCTACAAAACAGATGACGTATACTGTGTGAGAATTTCTAGATCCAAAAAATAAACGCAGGCTTGCGACACATTAAGTCAAAATGATTTGTCTCTCTACAATATAACACTGATCCAAGGTGTATGTATATAACACATGTAAATAAATCCTACATATAGGTTCATCATGCTTCACTACAGAAAACTTTAAAATCAGTTTAAGTACTTGGATTGTGTTAGTATAAAGATCTTATGTTTTCTTACAAACTGAAATACTAATATAGAAGTTGTCTCTATCATGTGTAACATATCATCACTATATATCCTCTGTAACATACTATAAACCAGCTAATTCAACACCAAAAATTCTCCAGACCTGAGAATGTGGATAACCAACATTCTCCAACCGTTCTCCAGACCTGAGAATGTGGATAACCAACATTCTCCAGACCTGAGAATGTGGATAAACAACGTTCTCCAGATCTGAGAATGTGGATAACCAACATTCTCCAGACCTGAGAATGTGGATAAACAACGTTCTCCAGATCTGAGAATGTGGATAAACAACGTTCTCCAGATCTGAGAATGTGGATAACCAACATTCTCCAGACCTGAGAATGTGGATAACCAACATTCTCCAGACCTGAGAATGTGGATAAACAACGTTCTCCAGATCTGAGAATGTGGATAAACAACGTTCTCCAGATCTGAGAATGTGGATAACCAACATTCTCCAGACCTGAGAATGTGGATAAACAACGTTCTCCAGATCTGAGAATGTGGATAACCAACATTCTCCAGACCTGAGAATGTGGATAACCAACATTCTCCAACCATTCTCCAGATCTGAGAATGTGGATAACCAACATTCTCCAACCGTTCTCCAGACCTGAGAATGTGGATAAACAACGTTCTCCAGACCTGAGAATGTGGATAAACAACATTCTCCAGATCTGAGAATGTGGATAAACAACGTTCTCCAGATCTGAGAATGTGGATAAACAACGTTCTCCAGATCTGAGAGTGTCGGTAACCAACATTCTCCAGACCTGAGAATGTGGATAACCAACATTCTCCAGACCTGAGAATGTGGATAAACAACGTTCTCCAGATCTGAGAATGTGGATAAACAACGTTCTCCAGATCTGAGAATGTGGATAAACAACATTCTCCAGATCTGAGAATGTGGATAAACAACGTTCTCCAGATCTGAGAATGTGGTTCTCCAGATCTGAGAATGTGGATAAACAACATTCTCCAGATCTGAGAATGTGGATAAACAACGTTCTCCAGATCTGAGAATGTGGATAAACAACGTTCTCCAGATCTGAGAGTGTCGGTAACCAACATTCTCCAGTTCTGAGAATGTGGATAAACAACGTTCTCCAGATCTGAGAATGTGGATAAACAATGTTCTCCAGACCTGAGAATGTGGATAACCAACATTCTCCAGACCTGAGAATGTGGATAACCAACATTCTCCAGACCTGAGAATGTGGATAAACAACGTTCTCCAGATCTGAGAGTGTCGGTAACCAACATTCTCCAGACCTGAGAATGTGGATAACCAACATTCTCCAGACCTGAGAATGTGGATAAACAACGTTCTCCAGATCTGAGAATGTGGATAAACAACGTTCTCCAGTTCTGAGAATGTGGATAAACAACGTTCTCCAGATCTGAGAATGTGGATAAACAATGTTCTCCAGATCTGAGAATGTGGATAAACAACGTTCTCCAGATCTGAGAATGTGGATAAACAACGTTCTCCAGACCTGAGAATGTGGATAAACAACGTTCTCCAGATCTGAGAATGTGGATAAACAACGTTCTCCAGATCTGAGAATGTGGATAAACAATGTTCTCCAGATCTGAGAATGTGGATAAACAACGTTCTCCAATCTGAGAATGTGGATTCTCCAGACCTGAGAATGTGGATAAACAACGTTCTCCAGACCTGAGAATGTGGATAAACAACGTTCTCCAGATCTGAGAATGTGGATAAACAACGTTCTCCAGATCTGAGAATGTGGATAAACAATGTTCTCCAGATCTGAGAATGTGGATAAACAACGTTCTCCAGATCTGAGAATGTGGATAAACAACGTTCTCCAGACCTGAGAATGTGGATAAACAACGTTCTCCAGATCTGAGAATGTGGATAAACAATGTTCTCCAGATCTGAGAATGTGGATAAACAATGTTCTCCAGACCTGAGAATGTGGATAAACAACGTTCTCCAGACCTGAGAATGTGGATAAACAACGTTCTCCAGATCTGAGAATGTGGATAAACAATGTTCTCCAGACCTGAGAATGTGGATAAACAACGTTCTCCAGATCTGAGAATGTGGATAAACAATGTTCTCCAGATCTGAGAGTGTTGGTAACCCAAATTTCTCCAGATCTGAGAGTGTTGGTAACCCAAATTTCTCCAGATCTGAGAGTATTTGTAACCAAATTTCTCCAGATCTGAGAGTGTTGGTAACCCAAATTTCTCCAGATCTGAGAGTGTTGGTAACCCAAATTTCTCCAGATCTGAGAGTGTTGGTAACCAAATTTCTACAGACTTGAAAAAATCACAATCAACAAATTTAGTATACCCAACACATTTGTCATGTTTAAGTTCCGGACGGAAAGTTTTACATTAGTGAAAACAAATATCATATATACTCAGACAATTTACAACTTGGAAAAAAGGCCTTGTAGTGAAATGTATATCATTACACGAGTAATGGACAATATGAAATAAATACTTCTGTACAAAACAAATTTTTTTCCTGCTAAAATATATTTCAAAATTTAATGAATAAATAGATAAATTCATACAATTGTATAAAAAATTAGTTTTTGTCAGGTGACATGTCAGACAAATCTATCAGATCTAACAAATACATCACAGTGTGTCTGTCATCTCAAATTCTGACTGTTTCTCGCTGTCATCTTCCATGTCTCCTAGAGCAGGCATACGCACTGACATTTTCAGTGTACCTGTAGTGGCAAGTTCACGAAGTTCTGACTCGTTAAGGGAGTCAGTAGCAGCCAAGCTTTCCTCCATAGAATAAGTCAACCCAAGTGACTTCCCTTTCTTCATTTGGCGTGTAGCGTAGGAATCTGTTGAGTCCCTTGTATCATTCTTGTTATCAAGACTCTGAGACATGGCACTTGATTGGTCGTAACTTTGAGACAAGCGTCCTGATTTATCAAAGCTTTGTGACATGCCTCCAGATTGGCCAAATTCACCTGACCTGCTTTGTGTGAGGTAACCAGATTTGATAAGGTCATCCATGTTCATCTGGTCTGGTGTGAAGGTCCTGGTGCCCTGGTCACTCATTGTCGTCCCTCCATCCCAACCTGTATAAAAAATCAGAAACTTAGACCTGTACAAAACATCAGAAACTCACACCTGTACATAACATCAGAGAAAAGTTATGTGCAGAAACTCAGACTTGTATAAAATACCAGGGCAGAGTTATATACAGAAACCCAGAACTCCATAAAATACCAGGGCAGAGTTATGTACAGAAACCCAGACCTGTATAAAATACCAGGGCAGAGTTATGTACAGAAACCCAGACCTCTATAAAATACCAGGGCAGAGTTATATACAGAAACCCAGACCTGTATAAAATACCAGGGCAGAGTGATGTACAGAAACCCAGACCTCTATAAAATACCAGGGCAGAGTTATATACAGAAACCCAGACCTGTATAAAATACCAAGGAAGAGTTATACACAGAAACCTAGACCTGTATACAATACCAACATATAGTTGATACTCAACCGACTGAGCTAAAGAGAAGTTCACCGTAGATGAATGGTATATTGCAGCTAGTATTTACCAAGGTTACATACTCCTCTTCCAGGAAATAAACCTTTCTTTGAGTTTCTAGGGATTACAGCAATGTCTGTAGGACATTTCTAGGTATTATTCCCCAGTCCCTATCTGGGTGCCAATGTAACAGAGGTCATTGTTTATTTCCATGCCTCCATTAGGACTTGAACCAGGTGTGTTCTCACTGACCACCACTTACATACGAGTTTCTAGGTATGTACAGAAATTTAAACTGGTACAAATTATGAAATACTATTTGATACACTATCCAATAACACACATACCAGTAGTTATAACACGATACCCACACGTATTTACATTGTAGCACCTGTCTGTTTACACTTACTCTGCTTGTTTTCCTGATCATCGGACTCTCTAATTTGTACAGTCCGAGGTATTGTAGTGGAAATGGTTTTGTTTGGCAGTCCAGATGACGGGGTTGCTGGCGGGGGCTTCTTCATAGCTGATTTACCTAGAAAGATGTTCATCATTTTGAGAAATTGTGAATAAACTTTCAATATCATGATTTATCATATTTGTACACCATACATCACTGTTTCTGCACCAAGTTCAAATCTTCACCCTGTACACAAGCACAGAAGGAATAAGTTTTCCATATTGACTACTGACATTACAACTATATGACTGGTCTGACCTAGCTAAGGAAGCAAAGTAAAAACAATATCCCCTCAGAGTTCAGTCTGCTTAAATTATGAAATCTAATGCTCTTTAGAGTGAAAATAAAAAACTTCCTGACGAAACAACACTTGAAGTTTGTTCAAATTGATACTTTACTTGGTGAGATTCTGCTTGTTCAAATTGATACTTTACCTGGTGAGATTCTGCCTGTTCAAATTAATGCTTTACCTGGTGAGATTCTGCCTGTTCAAACTGATTCTTTACCTGGTGAGATTCTGCCTGTTCAAATTAATGCTTTACCTGGTGAGATTCTGCCTGTTCAAACTGATTCTTTACCTGGTGAGATTCTGCCTGTTCAAATTGATACTTTACCTGGTGAGATTCTGCCTGTTCAAACTGATTCTTTACCTGGTGAGATTCTGCCTGTTCAAATTGATACTTTACCTGGTGAGATTCTGCCTGTTCAAATTGATTCTTTACCTGGTGAGATTCTGCCTGCTCCAAGTGATACTCCACCAGGTGTTCCACTACCTCTCATCCCATGAGACTGTCGGCCACGAGAGGATGATGGTCGGGTATCTCTTGATGGTGTGACCTGAGGTCTCTGACCCTTCGTATCCTCTCTGTAGGAGTCGTCTCGGGATGTGAGCTCTGGTTCAGACTCCTCTTGTATCGACTGGGACTTGAGGTCAGTCATTCGTAACGGGGAGCCATTTCTATTGGACATGTCTGGGGGTAAATCATATATTGCTTATCAATTAACAATATCAAAAGATAAACCAAATTCTGGTGTTAATTTACAATTCAAGATATCTTTGTAAAATCTGTACAATTAAACCTAAGATTTCTGTAGTCCTATAGTAACAATACATGTACAGGTTAAACAAAATCCAATTTACCATTTGTCAAATGGTCATGTGTCTAGCTGTGTCAGGTTTAATGTGATGTGTCTAGCTGTGTCAGGTTTAATGTGATGTTTCTAGCTGTGTCAGGTTTAATGTGATGTGTCTAGCTGTGTCAGGTTTAATGTGATGTGTCTAGCTGTGTCAGGTTTAATGTGATGTGTCTAGCTGTGTCAGGTTTAATGTGAGGTGTCTAGCTGTGTCAGGTTTAATGTGAGGTGTCTAGCTGTGTCAGGTTTAATGTGATGTGTCTAGCTGTGTCAGGTTTAATGTGATGTGTCTAGCTGAGTCAGGTTTAATGTGACATGTCTAGCTGTGTCAGGTTTAATGTGATGTGTCTTGCTTTGTCAGGTTTATTGTAACGTGTCTAGCTGTGTCAGGTTTAATGTGACGTGTCTTGTTCTGTCAGGTTTAATGTGATGTGTCTAGCTTTGTCAGGTTTAATGTGAGCTGTCTAGCTGTGTCAGGTTTAATGTGACTTGTCTAGCTGTGTCAGGTTTAATGTGACGTGTCTAGCTCTTTAAAGGTTTAATGTGACATGTCTTGCTTTGTCAGGTTTAATGTAACGTGTCTAGCTCTTTAAAGGTTTAATGTGATGTGTCTAGCTCTGTCAGGTTTAATGTGACGTGTCGAGCTGTGTCAGGTTTAATGTGATGTGTCTAGCTCTTTAAAGGTTTAATGTGACGTGTCTAGCTCTTTAAAGGTTTAATGTGATGTGTCTAGCTCTGTCAGGTTTAATGTGACGTGTCGAGCTGTGTCAGGTTTAATGTGATGTGTCTAGCTCTTTAAAGGTTTAATGTGACGTGTCTAGCTCTTTAAAGGTTTAATGTAACCCCAAATTAAAGGATCTTTGAGTTCCTTGAATTGAAATCAACAATGTGAACAATTAACATCAATATTAAGGATTCTTACCATAAGATCTGGAAACTCCATTGGACTGGGTAAACCCATTACTAGAACGTGTACTCTGTCTGTAAGAGTTCATGTCTCGGGTTGGCTGGTCATACTCTAAAACTTCCCCTATGCTCTGCTGTGTATGCATAACACGAATGACCTCCCCTTGACTTTTATGAACTGAAGCTCCATTCATGTATACTTCTCCAGTGCTAAGCCCAGTGCGGTTGAGGAGATCATAAACCTGTTGAGAGCTCATGTCGTACTGTCCTGCTGCTGGGAGACTGGCTGGAGTTTGATCATGGGGTTGTCGCTGTAGACGAGACAACAGCAATAACATTGGATCTTTTTCTGGCTCAACCTGACCTTTGTACTGAAACTCCCCTTCACTGGCCTGGAGGTCCATCATGTCTTCCTGATATAGAGAATGTGGAACATATAGTGGACATATCAACAAGACAGAAGATATCAGTAAAGTTGACGAAGGAATCTACTTAAATATACAAGTCAGCAACAGTCTAACTGTCATTAATCCTAAATCATGTATCACCACTCCTCCCTGCTGTAGACTTACCTCAAGTTCCTCTGTGTCTCTGAATGTACTGGCCATACTGTCACCTGTCTGTTTGGCTTGCATGGCCATTCTTTTGATGGCAGCTGTAGACAAGAATTACCACATATGTGAAACAGTTAGACAAGTGATCAGTTATTGATCCATCAGTATTTATAATCTATTTCCTTTTGTTACACCTCAACTTTTGATGAAATAAGTACAAATTTAAACTCGAACTTAGCAACTAAACTACACAAGAACTGAATGATATTGATATCTATGAATTTAATAGAACAATTAATCAGTATTTTACAAGAAAATGTGCACATCTTTGATCGTTCTAACTAAGGTTGATTTACCATCATCCAGGTTAAAGTCGGCCATCTCTCCCTCAGATTTAGACAGCAACCATTGTCCTTCAGACACACTCATGTTGTATGTGTCTGATATGGATGACATGATGGATGTAGTTTCTGTCTCAGACGGACTGGGACTTGGTGAGCGTCTCCGAACTGGTGACTTTGGTGGTGGTGACGGAACTTGTTCCAGAGGGAAGCGCAGGCTTTCATCCATAGGGGCCACAGACAGAGCACTGATAAGTACACAAAGGAGAAACATATCAAAAACTGAACCTTTGACCTAAAATTTGCATCCCTGGCACCAGGAAAACAATATATATCTGTATTCATACCATAAAACCAGATATCTGTCTACCATATATATATACTCACTAAGGTTTATGTTGGTTGGCTCTGTCATCTGTATAGTCCTCTCGGAAATCTGGGTTTTCCTCCGGAAGCGGGGACTCTGGATCGCCCCAAGGCTGTGGGCTTTGTATGATTTCCTTTTTCTCTTCATGTTCAGGGGGAGGGGCAGGTTTAGGGGCTGGGGGCTCCTCTACCGCCACAGGTACCTGTAACATTAATCAGCAGAATAACATTTGATATGAAGATGAGGAGGTATAACTTTTGTAGTTGACTATATCAACTTTTACCGAGTACTTCAAATGAACTAAAAGTCTCACAGTATCACATGATATTTGTCAAAGAATAAGCCTTCATCGGAAAACTTTGATTCTGTCTGAAACAGTAGCACACTGGCTGTACTAAACAGATAGAACAACAAACTCATACACAGAAATAGATAAAGACCACCCACATCATGAAGAATTAATTAGTGTAATATCAATTAATCTTAAGATCTACAAACAGGTAATGTGGAGCATATAAGATATACTCAATAACCAGTGATAGGAAGTGGCAGGAGGAAGGGTCTCTCTTACCTGTAGAACTGGCTGTTGTATGGGTGGGGGATGGGTCACTGTTAGTATATTACCTGTAGAACTGGCTGTTGTATGGGTGGGGGGTGGGTGGGTTACTATTAGTATATTACCTGTAGAACTGGCTGTTGTATGGGTGGGGGGTGGGTGGGTTACTGTTAGTATATTACCTGTAGAACTGGCTGTTATATGGGTGGGGGATGGGTCACTGTTAGTATATTACCTGTAGAACTGGCTGTTGTATGGGTGTGGGGTGGGTTACTGTTAGTATATTACCTGTAGAACTGGCTGTTGTATGGGTGGGGGGTGGGTTACTGTTAGTATATTACCTGTAGAACTGGCTGTTGTATGGGTGTGGGGTGGTTTACTGTTAGTATATTACCTGTAGAACTGGCTGTTGTATGGGTGGGGGATGGGTTACTGTTAATATATTACCTGTAGAACTGGCTGTTGTATGGGTGTGGGGTGGGTTACTGTTAGTATATTACCTGTAGAACTGGCTGTTGTATGGGTGTGGGGTGGGTTACTGTAAGTATATTACTTGTAGAACTGGCTGTTGTTTGGGTGTGGGGTTCGTTACTGTTAGTATATTACCTGTAGAACTGGCTGTTGTATGGGCGGGGTGTGGGGTGGGTTACTGTTAGTATATTACCTGTAGAACTGGTTGTTGTATGGGTGGGGGGTGGGTTACTATTATATTACCTGTAGAACTGGCTGTTGTATGGGTGGGGGTTGGGTTACTGTTAGTATATTACCTGTAGAACTGGCTGTTGTATGGGCGGGGTGTGGGGTGGGTTACTGTTAGTATATTACCTGTAGAACTGGTTGTTGTATGGGTGGGGGGTGGGTTACTGTTAGTATATTACCTGTAGAACTGGCTGTTGTATGGGCGGGGTGTGGGGTGGGTTACTGTTAGTATATTACCTGTAGAACTGGCTGTTGTATGGGTGGGGGGTGGGTTACTGTTAGTATATTACCTGTAGAACTGGCTGTTGTATGGGCGGGGTGTGGGGTGGGTTTCTGTTAGTATATTACCTGTAGAACTGGCTGTTGTATGGGCGGGGTGTGGGGTGGGTTACTGTTAGTATATTACCTGTAGAACTGGTTGTTGTATGGGTGGGGGGTGGGTTACTATTATATTACCTGTAGAACTGGCTGTTGTATGGGTGGGGGCTGGGTTACTGTTAGTATATTACCTGTAGAACTGGCTGTTGTATGGGTGGGGGGTGGGTGGGTTACTGTTAGTATATTACCTGTAGAACTGGTTGTTGTATGGGTGGGGGATTGGTTACTGTTAGTATATTACCTGTAGAACTGGCTGTTGTATGGGTGTGGGGTGGGTTTCTGTTAGTATATTACCTGTAGAACTGGCTGTTGTATGGGTGGGGGATGGGTTACTATTATATTACCTGTAGAACTGGCTGTTGTATGGGTGTGGGGTGGGTTACTGTTAGTATATTACCTGTAGAACTGGCTGTTGTATGGGTGGGGTGTGGGGTGGGTTACTGTTAGTATATTACCTGTAGAACTGGCTGTTGTATGGGTGTGGGGTGGGTTACTGTTAGTATATTACCTGTAGAACTGGCTGTTGTATGGGTGGGGGATTGGTTACTGTTAGTATATTACCTGTAGAACTGGCTGTTGTATGGGTGTGGGGTGGGTTTCTGTTAGTATATTACCTGTAGAACTGGCTGTTGTACTGGCTGTTGGTGTGGGTGTGGGGTTTTACTGTTAGTATATTACCTGTAGAACTGGCTGTTGTATGGGCGGGGTGTGGGGTGGGTTACTGTTAGTATATTACCTGTAGAACTGGTTGTTGTATGGGTGGGGGGTGGGTTACTATTATATTACCTGTAGAACTGGCTGTTATATGGGTGGGGGGTGGGTTACTGTTAGTATATTACCTGTAGAACTGGCTGTTGTATGGGTGGGGGGTGGGTGGGTTACTGTTAGTATATTACCTGTAGAACTGGTTGTTGTATGGGTGGGGGATTGGTTACTGTTAGTATATTACCTGTAGAACTGGTTGTTGTATGGGTGTGGGGTGGGTTTCTGTTAGTATATTACCTGTAGAACTGGCTGTTGTATGGGTGGGGGATGGGTTACTATTATATTACCTGTAGAACTGGCTGTTGTATGGGTGTGGGGTGGGTTACTGTTAGTATATTACCTGTAGAACTGGCTGTTGTATGGGTGGGGTGTGGGGTGGGTTACTGTTAGTATATTACCTGTAGAACTGGCTGTTGTATGGGTGGGGGATTGGTTACTGTTAGTATATTACCTGTAGAACTGGCTGTTGTATGGGTGTTGGGTGGGTTTCTGTTAGTATATTACCTGTAGAACTGGCTGTTGTATGGGTGTTGGGTGGGTTTCTGTTAGTATATTACCTGTAGAACTGGCTGTTGTATGGGCGGGGTGTGAGGTGGGTTACTGTTAGTATATTACCTGTAGAACTAGTTGTTGTATGGGTGGGGGATGGGTTACTATTATATTACCTGTAGAACTGGCTGTTGTATGGGTGGGGGGTGGGTTACTATTATATTACCTGTAGAACTGGCTGTTGTTTGGGTGTGGGGTTCGTTACTGTTAGTATATTACCTGTAGAACTGGCTGTTGTATGGGCGGGGTGTGGGGTGGGTTACTGTTAGTATATTACCTGTAGAACTGGTTGTTGTATGGGTGGGGGGTGGGTTACTATTATATTACCTGTAGAACTGGCTGTTGTATGGGTGGGGGGTGGGTTACTGTTAGTATATTACCTGTAGAACTGGCTGTTGTATGGGTGGGGAGTGGGTGGGTTACTGTTAGTATATTACCTGTAGAACTGGTTGTTGTATGGGTGGGGGTTGGGTTACTATTAGTATATTACCTGTAGAACTGGCTGTTGTATGGGTGTGGGGTGGGTTACTGTTAGTATATTACCTGTAGAACTGGCTGTTGTATGGGTGGGATGGGTTACTGTTAGTATATTACCTGCAAAACTGGCTGTTGTATGGGTGTGGGGTGGGTTACTGTTAGTATATTACCTGTAGAACTGGCTGTTGTATGGGTGTGGGGTGGGTTACTGTTAGTATATTACCTGTAGAACTGGCTGTTGTATGGGTATGGGGTGGGTTACTGTTAGTATATTACCTGTAGAACTTGCTGTTGTATGGGTGAGGGGTAGGTTACTGTTAGTATATTACCTGTAGAACTGGCTGTTGTATGGGCGGGGTGTGGGGTGGGTTACTGTTAGTATATTACCTGTAGAACTGGTTGTTGTATGGGTGGGGGTCGGGTTACTATTATATTACCTGTAGAACTGGCTGTTGTATGGGTGGGGGGAGGGTTACTGTTAGTATATTACCTGTAGAACTGGCTGTTGTATGGGTGGGGGGTGGGTGGGTTACTGTTAGTATATTACCTGTAGAACTGGTTGTTGTATGGGTGGGGGATTGGTTACTGTTAGTATATTACCTGTAGAACTGGTTGTTGTATGGGTGTGGGGTGGGTTTCTGTTAGTATATTACCTGTAGAACTGGCTATTGTATGGGTGGGGGATGGGTTACTATTATATTACCTGTAGAACTGGCTGTTGTATGGGTGTGGGGTGGGTTACTGTTAGTATATTACCTGTAGAACTGGCTGTTGTATGGGTGGGGTGTGGGGTGGGTTACTGTTAGTATATTACCTGTAGAACTGGCTGTTGTATGGGTGGGGGATTGGTTACTGTTAGTATATTACCTGTAGAACTGGCTGTTGTATGGGTGTTGGGTGGGTTTCTGTTAGTATATTACCTGTAGAACTGGCTGTTGTATGGGTGGGGGATGGGTTACTATTATATTACCTGTAGAACTGGCTGTTGTTTGGGTGTGGGGTTCGTTACTGTTAGTATATTACCTGTAGAACTGGCTGTTGTATTGGCGGGGTGTGGGGTGGGTTACTGTTAGTATATTACCTGTAAAACTGGTTGTTGTATGGGTGGGGGGTGGGTTACTATTATATTACCTGTAGAACTGGCTGTTGTATGGGTGGGGGTGGGTTACTGTTAGTATATTACCTGTAGAACTGGCTGTTGTATGGGTGGGGGGTGGGTGGGTTACTGTTAGTATATTACCTGTAGAACTGGTTGTTGTATGGGTGGGGGTTGGGTTACTATTAGTATATTACCTGTAGAACTGGCTGTTGTATGGGTGTGGGGTGGGTTACTGTTAGTATATTACCTGTAGAACTGGCTGTTGTATGGGTGGGGGTGGGTTACTGTTAGTATATTACCTGTAGAACTGGCTGTTGTATGGGTGTGGGGTGGGTTACTGTTAGTATATTACCTGTAGAACTGGCTGTTGTATGGGAGTGGGGTGGGTTACTATTAGTATATTACCTGTAGAACTGGCTGTTGTATGCATGGGGGTTGGTTACTGTTAGTATATTACCTGTAGAACTGGCTGTTGTATGGGTGTGGGGTGGGTTACTGTTAGTATATTACCTGTAGAACTGGCTGTTGTATGGGTATGGGGTGGGTTACTGTTAGTATATTACCTGTAGAACTGGCTGTTGTATGGGTGGGGGGTAGGTTACTGTTAGTATATTACCTGTAGAACTGGCTGTTGTATGGGCGGGGTGTGGGGTGGGTTTCTGTTAGTATATTACCTGTAGAACTGGCTGTTGTATGGGTGGGGGGTAGGTTACTGTTAGTATATTACCTGTAGAACTGGCTGTTGTATGGGCGGGGTGTGGGGTGGGTTACTGTTAGTATATTACCTGTAGAACTTGCTGTTGTATGGGTGAGGGGTAGGTTACTGTTAGTATATTACCTGTAGAACTGGCTGTTGTATGCATGGGGGTGGGTTACTGTTAGTATATTACCTGTAGAACTGGCTGTTGTATGGGTGTGGGGTGGGTTACTGTTAGTATATTACCTGTAGAACTGGCTGTTGTATGGGTATGGGGTGGGTTACTGTTAGTATATTACCTGTAGAACTGGCTGTTGTATGGGTGGGGGGTAGGTTACTGTTAGTATATTACCTGTAGAACTGGCTGTTGTATGGGAGTGGGGTGGGTTACTATTAGTATATTACCTGTAGAACTGGCTGTTGTATGGGAGTGGGGTGGGTTACTATTAGTATATTACCTGTAGAACTGGCTGTTGTATGGGTATGGGGTGGGTTACTATTAGTATATTACCTGTAGAACTGGCTGTTGTATGGGAGTGGGGTGGGTTACTATTAGTATATTACCTGTAGAACTGGCTGTTGTATGCATGGGGGTGGGTTACTGTTAGTATATTACCTGTAGAACTGGCTGTTGTATGGGTGTGGGCGGGTTACTGTTAGTATATTACCTGTAGAAATGGCTGTTGTATGGGTATGGGGTGGGTTACTATTAGTATATTACCTGTAGAACTGGCTGTTGTATGGGTGTGGGGTGGGTTACTGTTAATATATTACCTGTAGAACTGGTTGTTGTATGGGTGTGGGGTGGGTGGGTTACTGTTAGTATATTACCTGTAGAACTGGCTGTTGTATGGGTGTGGGGTGGGTTACTGTTAGTATATTACCTGTAGAACTGGCTGTTGTATGGGTTGGGGAGTGGGAGTGTGTTTGTGTGTTACTCTAAGTGTATTACCGGAAGAACTGGCTGTTGTATGGTTTGGGGATTGGGGGTGTGTTTGTGTGCTACTCTAAGTGTCTTACCTGAAGAACTGGCTGTTGTATGGGTGGGGGAGTGGGGGTGTGTTTGTGTGTTACTCTAAGTTATTACCTGAAGAACTGGCTGTTGTATGGTTGGGGGAGTGGGGGTGTAGGGGTGTGTTACTCTAAGTGTATTACCTGAAGAACTGGCTGTTGTATGGTTTGGGGATTGGGGGTGTGTTTGTGTGTTACTCTAAGTGTCTTACCTGAAGAACTGGCTGTTGTATGGGTGGGGGAGTGGGGGTGTGTTTGTGTGTTACTCTAAGTTATTACCTGAAGAACTGGCTGTTGTATGGTTGGGGGAGTGGGGGTGTAGGGGTGTGTTACTCTAAGTGTATTACCTGAAGAACTGGCTGTTGTATGGTTTGGGGATTGGGGGTGTGTTTGTGTGTTACTCTAAGTGTCTTACCTGAAGAACTGGCTGTTGTATTGGGGCCCTGCGAGGAGAAGGTTGAGGTGGAGACAAGGGTCTTTCTTCCTTCTCCACCTCCTCCTCAGGTAGTTCTGGGACTGGGGTTGTGATTGGTGTTTCCACATCATGTATAGTCTGATTAGATTCCTCTCTGATAGGCACCAGCTTGTCTGTAACATAGTTATTTCCTTAAATTTAGGTTTACTATACAGGTGACAACGATTCTTGTGATGTAATAGTGGTAGACTATTTACTAAAGCAGTAGTGGTACACTCAGTGATTATTATACTTATGAAATGTTGAATTTCTTTCAAAGATTGAAATGGCATTTTTTTTTTTTTACACAAAACCTGAAATTTTGTGTCAATATTACTCTTAACAGACAACACCATTATATACTTGCCTCTCAGAGCCCGGATTTCCTCACTGATATCCAAGGACTCGGAAATGTCCTCTGGCTCAGACACCTGTGGTACCACTCTTGGCTCCTGGACAAACTTTGAAGAAGCCTGGATTGGTGGGGAGTTAGGTGGAGTTATGGGTGGGGACAGGACTCTCACTGGAGAGGAAATAGGACTGGCCTTTGGTGTTGGTTCTGGGGTAGGCAGTATCCCTGCATTATTGTCCTGTGGGTAGGATTATAATCACTTATATCTAGATGTATCATACAACTGAACTGGTAATACACTGAAAGGTTAAATGATGTCTTTTCAAGTACAAGCAACAGTGACATGACTTCTCTGTAGCATATATATATATAAATCACACATGTTATTTGATTGACAGTTTTTTGTGATATAAGATGATCTTATTCATAAAACAATTTTTGTACCAAGCTCTATCCTCGTTTACAACCTACCTCCGGGGAGATGCCTGCAGCTACTCTCCCAGTGTCCTGGCCCCTCATGGAGGCCCCAAGTTTGGTCTCAGTTCTTCCTTCTGTCATCTCTTTCTGAGCTGTTGTCTCTTCATCAGGCCGCTGACCAAGCAGGGTGGTGACTTTCTCCAGCAGGACCTCTTTGACCAAAGCATCAACCAAGCGGCTATCTACAGGCTGACCCATGTCCACAAACATCTGGAGACCGTCACGACCGATGGCATCCATCACTGCAACATACCAGATTATAATATAACATGTTGTACATCACTGTAATACAGGTCTATCACTGTAATACAGGTAATTATAATGTAACATGACATCCATCACTGTAATACAGGAAATTATAATGTAACATGACGTCCATCACTGTAATACAGGTAATTATAATGTAACATGACATTCATCACTGTAATACAGGTAATTATAATGTAACATTATGTCCATCACTGTAATACAGGAAATTATAATGTAACATGACGTCCATCACTGTAATACAGGTAATTATAATGTAACATGACGTCCATCACTGTAATACAGGAAATTATAATGTAACATGACGTCCATCACTATAATACAGGTAACGATAATGTAACATGAATCACTGCAACTTTTATAATGGGTCTGAAAAGTCATCCCTAGCAAGGATCTTCAGTAAGGAAGTACTGTATGAAGTCAAGGTTATATTGGCCAAAGTATACTCTTGTATTCACATGGAAAATGATTTTCTATTTATAGCAAGTGACCTTGGCCTTTAACTTTGGGAGATAAAAAGCTACATACCCCATGAAAGCATTTCCTTAAAGGAATCATGACATAAAGTATGAGGGCCATTGGCCCAACAGAATTTTGAGGTACTGTACAGAAACCAAAAATGACAGACAGGCAGACAAGCTGATTAATGGAGATGCGGTGCATGATAAGAACATGTACACAATCATTTCAAATTGTCTATCCATATGCAACGTTACAATTGTCAGAATAAACCGCAGCAAAGGCAAATGTCATCTATTTCACTATACCATAATGTATATTTGTCTTAGCACCACTTGAAAATACATATATTTTTCATAGCAAAATCATCCATTATTTTTGTTTTGTTTATTGAGAATATGAAGAAAAGCTTAATTGCATGAGTATGTTACAAGACAATAACAGGCGGTTGACTTACTGAACATGGACTGTTCCCGATCATCTGCTACGCTGTCCTCAGACTCCTCATACACCACATGTTCCATCTCTCGCGGTTTCTCTGGTTTCAGGGGGTATAACTCTGATATGATGTGGGCCATTATCTCATGTTCTATCCTATTACAAAACATATCAGGTTAAGTCACATCAATAAACATAATTATCTAGTAAAGTCAAATCAATAAACATAATTATCTAGTAAAGTCACATCAATAAACATAATAATCTAGTAAAGTCACATCAATAAACATAATTATCTAGTAAAGTCACATCAATAAACACATAATTATCTAGTAAAGTCACATCAATAAACACATAATTATCTAGTAAAGTCACATCAATAAACATAATTATCTAGTAAAGTCACATCAATAAACATAATAATCTAGTAAAGTCACATCAATAAACATAATTATCTAGTAAAGACACATCAATAAAACATAATTATCTAGTAAAGTCACATCAATAAACACATAATTATCTAGTAAAGTCACATCAATAAACATAATTATCTGGTAAAGTCACATCAATAAACACATAATTATCTAGTAAAGTCACATCAATAAACACATAATTATCTAGTAAAGTCACATCAATAAACACATAACTATCTAGTAAAGTCACATCAATAAACATAATTATCTATAAAGACACATCAATAAACATAATTATCTAGTAAAGACACATCAATAAAGACATAATTATCTAGTAAAGTCACATCAATAAACATAATTAATAAACACACAATAAACACATAATCTAGTAAAGTCACATCAATAAACACATAATTATCTAGTAAAGTCACATCAATAAACATAATTATCTAGTAAAGTCACATCAATAAACATATAATTATCTAGTAAAGTCACATCAATAAACATAATTATCTAGTAAAGTCACATCAATAAACATAATTATCTAGTAAAGTCACATCAATAAACACATAATTATCTAGTAAAGTCACATCAATAAACATAATTACAGTCACATCAATAAACACATAATTATCTAGTAAAGTCACATCAATAAACACATAATTATCTAGTAAAGTCACATCAATAAACACATAATTATCTAGTAAAGTCACATCAATAAACATAATTATCTGGTAAAGTCACATCAATAAACACATAATTATCTAGTAAAGTCACATCAATAAACACATAACTATCTAGTAAAGTCACATCAATAAACATAATTATCTAGTAAAGACACATCAATAAACATAATTATCTAGTAAAGACACATCAATAAAGACATAATTATCTAGTAAAGTCACATCAATAAACACATAATTATCTAGTAAAGTCACATCAATAAACACATAATTATCTGGTAAAGTCACATCAATAAACATAATTATCTGGTAAAGTCAATAAATACTTCTATAGTTGTGTTTTACTGTGATGTTTTTACTATGATGTGTTACTCTGATGTTTTTACTGTAATGTTTTAATGGTGATGTTTTACTGTGATGTTTTAATTATGATGTTTTAATTGTAATGTTTTCCAAATTTCCCAGTATTTATCTCACTTTACCATTCTGAGGCTTTGTTTTCCAGGAGGTCTCTGCGCTTGATATCTGCAGCAATAATGTCTGAGGCGTGGGCCAGCTTGTCTGCCCCTGCTACCATTGGAGGGAAAGCAGGTATCTCGACTGGTGTAGGGGGTGGTGATGGAGCAGAATAGCCAGGAAGGGCTAGGCCGGGTGCTGTCTCTGGTGACAGATCTTCTGAGAGGTCATCCAAGGTCGCCTTTACCAAGAAAAGAATATTTATTGGAGAGCAAGAAGAAAATCAAACTTATTTGATTAAACAGTTGACCAACAATATCAAGGCCATACATCAATAATGAATAGCACACAAACTGAGATGATCGGTACAGGTCATTCAGTGAATACAGTCAAGGTGTGTATGTGGTAATGTCGGGAGACAACACATGTTCTATGTGTCTAGTTATCCTGTGTATGTGTAGAGGAGACAACAAATGTTCTACATGTCTAGTTCTCCTGTGTATGTGTAGAGGAGACAACACATGTTCTATGTGTCTGGTTCTCTTGTGTATGTGTAGAGGAGACAACACATGTTCTATGTGTCTGGTTCTCTTGTGTATGTGTAGAGGAGACAACACATGTTCTATCTGTCTAGTTATCCTGTGTATGTGTAGAGGAGACAACAAATGTTCTACATGTCTAGTTCTCCTGTGTATGTGTAGAGGAGACAACACATGTTCTATGTGTCTGGTTCTCCTGTGTATGTGTAGAGGAGACAACACATGTTCTATGTGTCTGGTTCTCTTGTGTATGTGTAGAGGAGACAACACATGTTCTATGTGTCTGGTTCTCTTGTGTATGTGTAGAGGAGACAACAAATGTTCTACATGTCTAGTTCTCCTGTGTATGTGTAGAGGAGACAACACATGTTCTATGTGTCTGGTTCTCTTGTGTATGTGTAGAGGAGACAACAAATGTTCTACATGTCTAGTTCTCCTGTGTATGTGTAGAGGAGACAACAAATGTTCTACATGTCTAGTTCTCCTGTGTATGTGTAGAGGAGACAACACATGTTGTATGTGTCTAGTTCTCCTGTGTATGTGTAGAAGGCAACACATGTTCTATCTGTCTAGTTATCCTGTGTATGTGTAGAGGAGACAACACATGTTTTATGTGTCTGGTTCTCCTGTGTATGTGTAGAGGAGACAACAAATGTTCTACATGTCTAGTTCTCCTGTGTATGTGTAGAGGAGACAACAAATGTTCTACATGTCTAGTTCTCCTGTGAATGTGTAGGAGACATCACATGTTCTATGTGTCTGGTTCTCCTGTGTATGTGTAGAGGAGACAACACATGTTCTATGTGTCTAGTTCTCCTGTGTATGTGTACAGACACTTATACCTGATTTCTCCAATCCTTGGGTGTTGCCCCTGTGTGCTGGTCTTCATGGAATGTTACTTCATAATGGGTCTTGGAGGGGGACTTGAGGTGGATGTCTCCTGTTTTGCTTCTAATCACTGACTCCTCGGACAGGTCAGTATCAATATCCACTGGTGGTAAAACCTGATGGTCAACACAACATACAAATGTAGTATTAATGGAATTTTTTTCTGTATCGTCAAGTTAAGCTCCGTCAAGTCAACCTAGAAGCAGTTGTACAGATGACTTTATATAATGTATAGCTGGTTATACCTGGTTTGTATATCATCATTATACATCCCATTATTACTGGTCTTAAGAACAGTTTAAATCTGTTACACACGTACCACTATACAAAATATAACAGTAAATAGACAAGTATATCATTATATGGCAGTTTTAGACTTCCTCGATAATCTCTACAATTGTAATCATGACTATTACTATCCATGAACTAGTACTACCAAAAGGCATGCTAACTACATTGAAAACTGTTCTGATTGGTAATTACTTGTTTTTAAAAGACTATCAAATTTAGTGTTTATCAAAAGATATATATGTCCAAAAGTCATAAAGTGGTCTAGTTCATCGTATTTGGGAACACTGTAGTGTTGTACCTGTTTGGCTAGCTCAGGTTGTGGGCTGATCTGTTCCTCTTCCTCACCAGAAGGCACAGACACCAGAGCAACATTTTTGGAGGCTGTGACTTGAGGACGTGGGACAGGGGTAGAGGTCACAGGACCAGAGGTCAGAGGGTCAGAGGTTGTTGTTACAGCTGTCAGACCACTCTCCATACGGGGCCCACCAAGGGGAACAGCCATTGGAATCAACTGACCTGGTATTGGAGCTAGAAAGGATATGTATCATTGCTACAATATGTCTAAACATTATGTTATATAGATAGTGACTTACAAATGTATATACACACTGTAAGGTGTTGTCTAAACATTATGTTATATAGATAGTGACTTACAAATGTATACGCACACTGTCTAAACATTATGTTATATAGACAGTCACTTACAAATGTATATACACACTGTAAGGTGTATGTTTAAACATTATGTTATATAGATATTGACTTACAAATGTATAAACACACATAAAAACAACCACTGACCTGCTGAGGTAACACTGGCTACAGGTATGAAGGAACCAGTGGCTGGACTGAAGTAGAACTGTTTCATTCCACCTTTAGTTTGAGTTTTAGCTGATCTCACCTCCATACCTCCTAAATAATGTAAAATATAATGCTTTTATCATTTCTTTACACAATGTTAACGGATTATTTTAAATTCATGTTCTATGTCTTTATCTGTAATCTGTGAATGAAAGATAAGCCAGTACACTTAAGCTGGTGTTCCACTCTTGCCCCAGTTTTTCAAGAATTCCAAAATCTTGATCAGGTGGTTTAAATTCATTTGCAGGAATAAAATCATTAAGAAGTCATGGAAAAAGGAGTACATACCTGTGACATCAAGTGCTTGTGTTGAGCGTCCTGGAGATCGTGGTTTAGGGACATTCTTGTTTTGATAGTGAAGGTAGGGATCTTTTTGTGTAGTTCTCTTGTTGTCATATACAGCCTTCCCATACACACGGTACATGTTCTCCTCACTAACAGGAGGGGGCTGTCTAGGTGGCGGACCCTGATGGTGCAAAAACTGGCAAATTAACACACTTAAGGTAAATAAATCTACAGTGGAAGGGAGACAACTCCAGTTATTTTTTGAAAGTTGAAACAATCTCATGTCTTCTTGGTTTTTCAGATAAATTCTGTTCTAACAAATAACTACAAGTATAAGCTATTTTTAGATTATGCTATATAAGCATATAAGTATATAAATTTTAATGTGTGCTATTTCAACATGCATATCAGGCACATTTATATCATTATACAATTCTGCCTGAGAATGAGTGCATTGTGTGATAATTCTGAGCAGGATAACTGTGACATAACTTGAGCTAATTTGTATTTTATCCTAACTAAATAAAGGTTATTATTATAAAGTGTCACATAAACATATGGAGTTACTGGCCTTTATTGGAGGTTTTCGTACTGTTGTGGTAGATTTAGTTTCCTTCTCTATGAAGCGTGGGGCCTTGCCCATACTAGGTCCAGGCATTCGGCCAATACTAGGCCCACCTGAAGACTTATCCCGCTTGAGCCCTGAGTCTACTCTAGCACCTGATGTGCTACGTGTTATCTTGTAAGACTTCTTGGGACCAGGTGGTGCCACTTGAGGTTCCTTTGTAGGAAATACTGGTCGATGATGTTTCTTCTGAAGTTCCCTCATTACAACTTCATCTGTCACTTCTCGCTGAAGGGGAAAAAAGAAGTAAGGTATGATTATAAGGACTTCTGACTCTAAGAGAAGAAGTAGTATAAATTTGTGGAGAAGGACATTCTAAACCTTAACATGTACGTCTGAGGAAGTTTCTGGTAGAGGAAGAAATTCTGTAAATATCAGGTTATTTTTACTGTTATTTCCTTTTCTATGTCAGACTCAACCTAGAATTCAACAATGCAGGAAAAAATTGAATTCCAATGAAAGATAAACAGAAACACTGATACAAGGTCTACCCTTTCATTGATAACACTACTGATTAATAAATGGGCAAGATAATTAAAAGGTTGATTAGATCTATCATAACTATGAACACTCTTTACTATTTAAAAATTATTTTAAGCACTTAAAATGACATCAAAATCCAGTATCGTCGAGAGCTCTATCAAGTCTACCAAGAACAATCACAACAGTACATTTCTACACTGTCCAAAAATTTATTTTTAAAAAAAATATATCATTTTACTAATTCAAAGCGGTATACAGTAAATAAGTGTATGCAGGAAAAGCTGTGATATGTAGGGAAGATAAAGGTGTAAATGATATGTTTTGGAGTTCCTCACTCTGTTCTTAGAAAACTTCATAGTGTTTCACACTATTTTTCAATAATTTAGTGTGTAAAACCAACAGAACAAAATAAAGACAGGGCAGCTGTGATACATTGTTTCTTCAGCTACATAATCAGCCACCTGCCTACCTAACAGTTTGTAACAGGTGTTTAACCAATCTCACAGTAAAAATCCTGAGTCTATAAGTAAACTTAAAAGACAACACATTTCAATTATTATGTCAACAATCAAGTGGGTACACACTCATACAAATTGGAAAACTAAAAATAACCTAGGAATCCTATAGTTATCAAAGGTCACATATCCTTCACCATCCCTCTCATTCTTTACAGAATCCTATAGTTATCAAAGGTCACATATCCTTCACCATCCCTCTCATTCTTTACAGAATCCTGTGATATGCTGAACACTATGTGAAAAACCATTTAGATGCTGAAAATAATAATGGAAAATTATTCTTCCAAAAATCTTTATAAAGGATAACACCATTGCAAATTACATTTGTGGAGCCTGATTAAAAAGGTTAAAAACTGATCGGAGATATGTGGATAAGAATGAAATGATAGGGGAGGAGATATGTGGATAAGAATGAAATGATAGGGGAGGAGATATGTGGATAAGAATGAAATGAAAGGGGAGGAGATATGTGGATAAGAATGAAATGACGGGGGAGGAGATATGTGGATAAGAATGAAATGACGCGGCAGGAGATATGTGGATAAGAATGAAAAGACAGGGGAGGAGATATGTGGATAAGAATGAAATGACAGGGGAGGAGATAATGTGGATAAGAATGAAATGACGGGGGAGGAGATATGTGGATAAGAATGAAATGACAGGGGAGGAGATATGTTGATAAGAATGAAATGATAGGGGAGGAGATAATGTGGATAAGAATGAAATGATAGGGGAGGAGATATGTGGATAAGAATGAAATGACGGGGGAGGAGATATGTGGATAAGAATGAAATGATAGGGGAGGAGATATGTGGATAAGAATGAAAAGACAGGGGAGGAGATATGTGGATAAGAATGAAATGACAGGGGAGGAGATATGTGGATAAGAATGAAATGACGGGGGAGGAGATATGTGGATAAGAATGAAATGACGGGGGAGGAGATATGTGGATAAGAATGAAATGACAGGGGAGGAGATATGTGGATAAGATTGAAATGACGGGGGAGGAGATATGTGGATAAGAATGAAATGACAGGGGAGGAGATATGTGGATAAGAATGAAATGATAGGGGAGGAGATATGTGGATAAGAATGAAATGACGGGGGAGGAGATATGTGGATAAGAATGAAATGACAGGGGAGGAGATATGTTGATAAGAATGAAATGATAGGGGAGGAGATATGTGGATAAGCATGAAATGATAGGGGAGGAGATATGTGGATAAGAATGAAATGATGGGGGAGGAGATATGTGGATAAGAATGAAATGACGGGGGAGGAGATATGTGGATAAGAATGAAATGACGGGGGAGGAGATATGTGGATAAGAATGAAATGACGGGGGAGGAGATATGTGGATAAGCATGAAATGATAGGGGAGGAAATATCTGGGGAAAAAAGGAAAGAAAAAGCTCTTATAGAAACTGTTGAATCAAAATGCCATTTATGGAAAAATTGATGAATATTAAAACTGCTGTTCTGGAATAACACATCACATCATTATTATAATGATAAAAAATTTATCGGCAAAAAAGAGAATAGGTACCTTTTATGAAAAAGAAAATTCAAATTTTGTTTAGGTAAACACAACTTGATGTCATGGTTGTGAGGCTGAGCAAGTTTGAAAGAGATTGGCCGAAAAATTCCTTTGATTGGTGGTTAAAATGCACATGGTAAATGTCTAAAAATAGAAACACACTCAAATTATGAAATTGTTGATAATAACTATGTGAACACGTATACCATACCCCAGCTATAATTGTGCTGATACAGGTTTATACACAATTTTCTATACATTTATACACTAAAGTTACTGCTAACTAGTGACAGATCATCAAATGGTATCGTAGAATGGCCTGACTACTCCTTGCCCATAATTAAACTTCATCAAATATAAACCTATAGCATTAACCAATGATAAGAGGATTTAGTGTTTTTAATGATTAATCAATAATTTTATAGTTCAGCAAAACCTAATCATTATTGGTCATAATTTAATTTGATAAATAATGGAAAACAAACTAAATCATGATTACTATACATTTTTGATTAACTTTGTACAATACTCACGTCAACTTGTTTACGGAGATCAGTAACCCAGTCATTGACTTTCTGTTGAAGTCTTGCATTTTCTGTTTCATGGCTGGAAAAAAAAAACAAATAGGAACATCTTTCATCCCTACATGGCATCAGATTCTGGATGGAAAAGTATACAATGTAAGTTTAGAGGACATGTAATGATAGTTATCTCCCCCGCCATGTCAGTACAATAACTAGAGGACATGTGATGGTAGTTATCTTCCCTGTGTTGTCTGTACAGTAACTAGAGGACAGGTGATTGTAGTTATCTCCCTTGTGATGTCTGTATAGTAACTAGAGGACATATGATGATAGTTATCTCCCCTGTGTTGTCTGTACAATAACTAGAGGACAGGTGATGGTAGTTATCTCCCCTGTGTTGTCTGTACAATAACTAGAGGACATATGATGGTAGTTATCTCCCCTGTGATGTATGTACAATAACTAGAGGACAGGTTATGGTAGTTATCTCCCCTGTGATGTCTGTACAATAACTAGAGGACATGTGATGATAGTTATCTCCCTTGTGATGTCTGTACAATAACTAGAGGACATGTGATGGTAGTTATCTCCCCTGTGATGTCTGTACAATAACTAGAGGACATGTGATGATAGTTATCTCCCTTGTGATGTCTGTATTGTAACTAGAG